GATAGCAATAAGGTCGCCCTTTGTAATCTTTCGCTTTTTTCTATCTTCTCTGTATTATGTCCTGTCTAGCGTGCAATAAAGAATATTATTATTATTATTATCCTGGGCAATTAGTAGATAAAAGTAACCGACCATGGAATGTAATCCCTTATATGTATACAATATTATGATTCTATATTTTGTAGGCTATGTCCGCCGCGTATGTTCTGTTATCAAATATATAAAAGCTTCTCATAGATGAATGAATTTTATAATCGGTCCAATAGTTTCAAAGCCTTAAACATTGCAAACAAACAAACAATGAAATCTTTCCTCTTTATAATATGAGTATAGATTTACGTATTGGATAAAATTAGGACGAGCAAATAGACAAAACCTCCTTTCCTAAAACTTTTACTATGTTGACATATCTTTTATATAGATATTTGAAGTCGGTTTTATTTTAGAAAAAAAAAAGAACTTTTTTATGTTAAACGGTTTTATTGTAAACAGAAAAATGTTGCAGATAAATGTACTAAAACCTAAAAAATAAATGAATGGATACAGTCATGAGTAAAATCAGTCAATCGAAATAAAATCGTGGGGCACGTCCAATACCTATAATCGTCGAATAAAATGTTCGTTGTAAAATAATAACAACGAATTTACCTTTGCACACATTTAAAAGAAACAATTAATATTGGGCGTGCCCCACGATTTTATTTCGATTGACTGATTTTACTCATGACTGTATCCATTCATTTATTTTTTAGCTTTTAGTACATTTATCTACAACATTTTTCTGTTTACAATAAAACCGTTTAACTGAAATAGTTTTTTTTATTTTTTTTTATTATATGATTGTGCCGACAACGTGGTTAGTGGTTGTGGTGGTTTTAATCCAACAACACTTCTGTCTTCCATGATGAATTTTTCTTTTCAACAGTTCCGTCACGAAATTTTAACCATTTATTCGCAGCGCCATGTTTTATTTGTGACTTGTAATTAATGAAGCCATAAAATATTTGAGGAACACTTTATTTTAAGATCCACCATTACAAGAGAGGGAGAGAGAGATCCTTGTTCTTTTTATACATCAAACCTCTCAGTACACAATGACATCCTTTTATATAGCCATATACTACAGACAGGTCATAAATACATCAAGGGATAACAGAAAAAATATTTATTTGGAATTGAAGTAATCTGCTTAGGAGATTCGTAATATAAGGCGTTTCCTAGTTAAGTTATGCCTTGTTCTAGGTTAGTGAAAATGGGTAATAGGCTGATGATGAGCGCTAACATGTATCTTATGGCTACAGAGTTAGGCGGTCGCATCCCACCTTTCACAATTAAACCAGCAGATATGAAAGGTAAAAAATAAAAGGTTTTATTATCTCATTACATATATTTAATAAATAAATTGTATAAAAAATATGGATTAATTTATTATGTCTCTTCTTAAAATAACGGGTCTGCTCTTACAATAACGTCAATATAATTACTATATTATTAATAAATAAAATATGTTTTCCAAAGATTTTGATTATTATTCATTAATCAAATCTTTTCTTTCTATCTCTCAATATTTCGATGATTGAGAGTCATTTTCATGGTGAGGTGTCAGTCTATGTATATTTATTATAATTTACATTACACAAATAAATGGTATTTTTCTAGTTTTTATTAATTAACTATCGTAGTTCATTTTATAACTATAATAAGTATTGTTTTCATGAAATATAAAAGCAAAATATCAACATATATTTATCGGAATTACTAAATTTAACCCAAAAGTCGGGCGTATTTATATACTCGGGCATGGACCATCTCGTATTATTAGTAGATTTGGCTAGTCAATATCTATTGGTTATTTGTATGTAAATTATAGAATAGGGACGTAAAAAGATATATAGATGACCTGGTTTCTGTCGTGGGTTCTAACTTACATCAGGCAATTATATTACTTATTCGTGCACGGTATTTAAAATATTGAATGCGTATAATATGCGAGTTACTTTTTTTTTAATTTTCAATCATCTAATATTCTAAAACCAAACGAATTAGTTGCTTGAAAATAGTTTTTAAATACATCCAATTGCGTATTCGTGCAGTCGGAAAGCACATCTTGTAATTGTTAGTTTCCGATTCTACGATAGAATCTATTTCATTCTCCCATGTTCTCGTCGCTACTTTAATGGTAAGATAGTTCTTTCCACTTGGCAACTTATAGCTTCTTTTATAATTTCCATACTGTCGGAATATTCGACTGGTGGAGCTTTCCGATGTGAAAACATTTTGCTCAACGTTCAAGATTTCACTGAAATGAGAAATAATACTTTGATGATGAAATAAAAATAAAAATGTTAATGAAATTGTGTTTAATATCAAAACTAGTAACTTTATAATATAAAATAAATAATATTCATAGTTTAACGATATCTTTATTCTGCAACCAAACTGGGGGCCGATTCTACTTAATAAATCGATTCTACTTTGTTTAAATCGAATCGAAAACGGATCGAAACCTAACGAAACAACAGTTTTTGATGGTTTTCCTATTCTACAAAGTGACATACGATACAATTCCAGTTCTATTTTAGCTGGAATTGTATCGTATGTCACTTAGTAGAATAATAAACCATTAAAAACGTATTTTCGATCCGTTTTCGATTCGATTTAAACAAAATTTATTTAGTAGAATTGGCCCCCAGATCCTTATATAACGTCCAGTGATATTAAATTGTATATATAATAAAATACTCTTTTTATGTTCGCTACGGACTAAATTAATAAAAGTTAGAATTTACTATGGGATCTGATAGTACGTCTGTCGCTTAGCTTCATACGTGAACTAATATGCAGTATTGGTAATATAATGGCGTTGCAAGTAAAAGGAGTACTCTTTTTTTTTAACCCTTCATCCATCTCGTGGGGTCTTTAATAGCCTGGGTTTAAGAAGATTGTGTAATTTAAGAAGATTATGAGATTTACTACGTCAGAAATGGATTGTAGTATTTATATTTATGTTTTTGTTGTTTTAGTTATTTAGTGGAAGTAAAATCGACGATAGACAATCTCAATATATTCTAAGATGGTTAGAATAGGAAGATGATGTCGTTGGAAGTGAAGAAGATGAAGAAGAAAACGTTGATTATCCAGATGAAGTGAGTGGACATGGCACGTAATCTGAACAGGAACATGATGAAGAAGTTCATCATGAACAAGTTGCATCAGTGAAATCAAACGGCGACGAAAATGTAATCCCATGAGGGAATTTATCGTCATATAATTTTTATACTACAATTAAGACTGTCGATACAGAAAATGGATAGTTCAAATTCATATAAAGATGGCCAGAAGCGCATTCTCAGAATGAGTAAGGTCCTATGCAACAGGAATCTAAATCTCGGACTCCAGATGCATATAGTTCGATATTAGATCTTCTCAGTACTGGTCGAGTCATGGACACTAACACAAAATGCGCTTAACCCTTCCTTTACTTTTTTCATTTCACATTCAATAATGGGTTCCGTTAACCATACTATCAGCGGTAACGTGACACCGCTCTTTTTGACACTTAACGACATTCTTTTGTGCGTGCCGCTAATGTAAACATATAGCAAAAAAACTGTAGTTCTACGAAGCTTATGAATGATCCAAACAACTTAAGAGTAGCTCGGTGGCGTAGTGTATAAGAGCCGCGGCCTGCGATCGTAGTCGTTAAGTTAAGTGACCAAAAAAAAAATTATTATCTCGAGCTACTCCGTGCTTCGGAAAACACGTTAAGCCGTTGGTCCCGGCTGCATTTGCAGTCGTTAATACCCTCCAATCCGCATTGGGCTAGCGTGGAGGGTCATGGCCCATCCTACTTAACCATCCATAAGGAAGGCCTGAGCCCCTGCAGTGGGGACGTAAAAGGGCTGGTGATGATGATGATGATGAAACAACTTAAAGTTATTTGACACTTTTACGAACATAACCATCTATGAGTAAGCGTTTCATTCACTACCTAGACTTACAAAGATAGGAAATTATGCCACTTTTGCAAAGGAAACACTGGTCTAAATCTATATGAACTGATTGTGTCCAAAGAAATAATCAAGGTAATTTTTAAATAAAGAAAGTATATATTTTTTGTGTTTGTTAAGTTGTTACATTTGATTTTTATCTTAAGTTCATTAATCTCAAATTGACAATTACAAAAAAGAGTAAGTTGTCCTTTGTTAAAAACTTTGTTTTTAAGTTTAACAGAGTCAAAATATGAGAAAAAATTGTTATGCATATTATTTTCTACTTTTTCCGTATAAATAAACGTCTGATATGCAATATCGTTTACTTTCCGTTTAAATATAATCCTATTTAAATGAGAGACGTCAGAATAATGTCAAATATTTATTTTATTATATCAATTGATGACTATTTATTCCTGACAGACGGAGGGTTACGCATTAAACCAGGGCACTTTAACCCCGCACCTGTCCTGAAAAGGACAGGCTTAAGCAATGCCGACCTAACTGGTAAAACCTGCTGCGAGTACCCTTCGGGGGGTTAGAGAGTGGACCGGAATCCGACAGGAGCCTGCCGGGTAAACTTCTCTCGAGACTCAATGGGTAAGCCAAAAAACGTGCAAAATTCTCACTGTTACGTTTCTTGGATGAGCTAAAGTAAGTCAAGCTTAGGTAGGGTTAACTGGTGGGGGGATCCACGATAAGGGTTATGCCTGTGTGGGCCCTCCCATCTGAACGGGCAAGGACTGCAAATACCCAGTTGCACATTTCCAATCTTTAGTCAGGGCATTGCACGCCTTCGCCCTGTCTGGGGAGTGCATCTCAAGTGTCTCTGAGAAGTAAAGTAACCCACAGAGGGACCCACATGGAGTGGGCCGAAATGGGGGCAAACGGTGCGGTAAATGGTCTTCGGGCTGTCCCCATACATCGTCTCCATGACGAGGGACATCGCTGGGTTTTAGTCAATTAAAACGGCATTTTGTAGATTTTCGCATGAAATAAATTTCAAAAACAAACGAAAAACAATGTAACTTACTTATAAACGTCAATTTGCTTGGCATCGTGAATATATATCTTTTTTTCCTCCATATGTCTAGATATCTCCGCAAACAATTCTTCATACGCATAATCATAATACGTCATGAAAACAACAAAGTTTTCTTCACTAAGATTCAACCAATCCTCAATTATTGGTACTACATTTTCAATGCATTGCGCTCTCGTCGGCAAAGCAGGCTTCTCTTCAAATGTAGCATCATAATACATGTAATCGAATGTCAATGGATTCCCATCTTCGTCGTGTAGTGATTTAAGCTCTGCAAGCTCTTCTTCTCCACTGGTTCTCATAACAAAATCTCCTGTATAAAGTACCTTCCATGAAGGTTTAGCGAATATGAACATTACCGCTCCAGGCATATGAGTCACTTCTTGTAGAGTCACATCAATATCTAAATCGTCGAGGTTGGAGTAAGTTTGACCTGAAAATTTATTTTGGATAAAAATAAAATTTTCTGATGAAGTTTGACACACAGTCGTGTCTTTGATATCTAATGATATCCAAGCAAACTAAGTTTCAGAAAGAAGTACATTTTAAACTGACAGACACTCTGTCCGTCGGCGCTGACCCTAAAGCCATGAAACAACTTTAATTGCATTAATTTCTCCTCCACTTTCGGAATGCGTGCATTACTTTCAAGGCACTAAAGTAGTTTCGTGCAAATATTTTTGATTAAAGTAGTTTCACGTAACTATGTTCATATCCTCCCTCCCTAAAACCTGACTCATGTATTGTATATTATTTGCAGATGACGTTTCTATTTTGACTTCGTGTACCGATAACATAAATTTGAACGAAAAATTGACAAATATTTTAAATGTTGTTTCTGACTGGATGAAGGATCATAATTTAGAAATAAATTATACTAAAACTAAAATCATGCAATTTAGACCTCATCAAAAACAAGCACTAAGCATAAAATTTGAATACAAAAATAATCAATTAGAATGTGTTAATACTTTCAGGCTTCTAGGGTTAAATATAGATACCAATGTAAACTGGAAAGATCATATAGAAACAATTAAAGCAAAATTATCTTCCTTTCTTTATGCTTTAAGGGAAATAAAGGTAAGCTGTGATTTCAACTCAGCAATGGCGAACTTATTATGCATACGCCCACGCTTGGCTTTCGTATGGAATCATACTCTGGGGCAATAGTACAGACATACAAAATGTTTTCCTTAACAAAAAAAGTGCATACGAATCCTTGCCAATATTGACACTACTTGTAGTTGTAGACCATACTTTAAGCAATTTAAGATATTGACTGTGACTTCTCTGTATATATTAGAGCTTTGTAAATTAGTTAAAAAATATCCTGACTTCTTTACCAAAAAAAATGATATTCTGAGGAGATATCCGGCGAGATACAATAATAATTTGATACTTCCAAAATCACAATTGACTTTGCACAGTACGAGTCCCTATGTAATGGCAATAAAATTTTTTAATAGATTACCCCATAATTTAAAAAATGAAATTAATATCAAAAAGTTTGTAACGACATTGAAGCAAATTCTCATTGACAAATGTTATTATAATGTCCAAGAATATTTTGATGACAAATTGTAATATTTTATTGCCGTTGACATAACATGTTTTTCTTTCTTCCTTGACAATTTAATTTATCTCTTGACAACTTAACTTTTGTTTTGTTTTGACATCTACATTGTGACATAATTTATAATTTTTAATTCTAAGCATTTGACATTTATTGTACTTAATTGAAAATTACCTGACAATTAACATTAATTTTATATACTTATGATTAAGGACGAATGTGAATTTAAATGAAATTTTATGAATGTAAGATATTGAGGAAAGTGTCGATTTAATTGCTGAAACTAGTCTACTGTCGTGACACCAACTGGAGTATAATAAAGTTACAATGTTGAGGTACTGTTACATCACGAAAGAAATTACTTATTACATCATGTGAAATTACTTTCTTGACACTTGTATTTAGTTTCGTGACATAACATTTACGGTACCGGCAATTGAACGGATCAGCTTTTAATATCTGTCTATGTTTTGTTTTTTTTTTATTATATATTTTTATGTACATATGGTTTTTGTTTTATTTACGTTTGACACACCTTTAGTTGCCCCCTCCCTCGACTTCCCCTACGTCGTTATGAAGTAAGTTATTATTATGTCCAAACGACGCGTCACAATGGGAATACAGACTTATATAATTAACACCATTTTATAGAGGGTGTGATTGATTTAATAGCCGAGGACCTAGCCTTACATCTTTAATGCTCCAGCTAACTTCATCATCGGCCTATGTTCGCCCACTGCTGGACGTAGGCCTCTCTAAGCGACGTCATCGATCTGAATCTTCGCTACTCTCATCCAGTTTTTGCCGACCTTGCGAAGATCGTCTTCTTATCGTCATAAGCGCGTCTCACACTGCATTTGCAGAACCGCGGTCTCCAATCTAGAGTTTTTTTGTGTCTTCGATCGATGGTTCTCTGACTAATGTGACCTACCCTAGCCACTTCAGCTAATCCGGTGGGCTATGGCGATTACTTTTGATTAATTATGAATCACCTCAATTCGGATTCGATTCTATGAAATTCTGAACATAGCAATATAAGTGAATTTCATTTTGCCCACTAATCTTATCACATAACACAAGGAAATGCTCTTAAAATTAAAAAAACAATCTATATTTATTAAACAGTATCTCATGCTTGGTCATGGATTTGTTTATATTGCAGCGCGTTTGGCTGTCTCACTTACAATAAGTAGGGTCATACGTAGACACTAGACAACTCAAAGCAATATGAAGCGATATAAAATCAATTACTGTTAAAAATTATCCACATATTTCCGGCGCAATTATAAGTTCAGGAGTATTGCAAAGCAACTTTAACTAACTCGCTTATTTAATTAATGTTTAAGTTATTTTTTCATTTTAGTTGAAACAATTTTAACCAGTGACTACTACTACCAGTAGCTACCTGTTATAACAACAATATAGGAAGAACCTACCCTAATTTATTATTTTTGGAAAGCAAAATTTTGAATAAATTAAATATGTACCTAATTAATTAAGATTATTTTCTCATAGTATTTATCCCTAGGGAACTGTTTTTGTGACCTAAAAGAAGACCAAAATGTAAATTAGTCTTGGAATATAGCATAGCTTTCGACTTTCACAAGTGCTTAACGGCACAGACTGTTTAGTTAACAAAATTATTTGAACACCAATTCCCATCAAAATCCGTTAAGAAGTTTCTGTCTTAAAGAGTAACAAACAAAAGTACATACATCAACCCACACACTTTCGCATTTACAATTTTAAAAATTAGTTAGTTAAAAATGCTTTGATATAGTTTATGCGTTAACAAAGAACCCTTATAGTCAGGCCCGTCTTTACCCATGGAGCGGGGGGTGCAATGCACCCGGACGCCGCGCGGTTGATGGTCTAATCTTGTAGTAGTCAACTGTAATAGTATAGTGAAATAAAATCACAAGTCAAAGTTGTGATTTTATTTCAATAATCTTTATACTGCTGACGATGAACAACTAGTCTTTTGAAATATCTATCAATATATGTTATTTTTTATATTTGTAAAAAAAAATCAAAACCCTGTAATGGGCCCCCATTACAGCATTGCTTGCGTCCGGGCGCCTGCTTAATACGTGCTTTAGACGGGCCTACTTATAGTTTCTGTCCTTCCGCTTGAGGTTTAGCTCAAGATCTATTGATCTGGTAAGTTTCAAAGCTGGTAAGCTGGCAAGGTAAAAAAAGCCGGTAAGTTTCTAAAAAGCTGGTAAGTTTCTTTCGCTTGTTCTTCTTGTCAGCTAAAAGACGTCCTGAACAAGTGGTAGGGGAAAAAAACTTTTGGACGATTCAAAAGTGCTTGGAATAGCCTACTTGAATAAAGATATTTTCATTTCATTTTCATTGATACTAGGAAGTTGTAATTTGATATGAGTATACACATTAATTACGCCGACAAAGTGGCAAAGTAAAATTTCGAGAAAAAAAAATCTCCCCTACATATAAAGTGGGGATGATAATTTTTTTTCGTCTTCCCCATAGTTGGATCGTTGGATAGGTCTTTCAGTAACATTTGGGGTGTGGCAAGGTCGTTTATCTATTTCATAAAACTGTTCGTGACGTATTAAACTTTAAAGAGCTAAATATCAGTAGAGTCATGTGTCCTCCGGGGACTCAAGTATCGCTGGTGAAAATTCAATCGTTACGCAGTAGTACCTATTTGTATGTACGAAGTTAAAGTTGGTTTTGCAAGTTTACAAATAATAGTCGACCTCCAAAGACAACAACAAACTTGTTTCTTTTTACTTTCTTATAACGGAACCCTTCGTGGGCGAATCCTTTGAACTTGGAGTTTCTTTACGTAGATACATTAGCTTTACGTTCGCTTTAAGCTCGCTTGCTCACTTAGGACAAAGCTTTTGTTTATTATTACCTGTCTGTAATGTGACTATGATATGTTCCAGTTCATTGTAGTCATCAGGATAGTGTATACTAAAAATTATTCTCGTCGGTTCTGTCATGTATATTTTTTTCTTTGGCTCCGATTCCATGAGATCTGAAGCGTGACGTCCATTTTTGCCGATTAAACCTCCATAGTGATCAGAGTGGAAGTGAGAGAGGAAGTATGCTTTTTTAGTTTTATCATAAAAATTGTCGACGCTTATGTCTTCGAAACCTTCAATCTTACCGTTAAAAGAGTTTTGGCGGTCCTTCCATCCGGCCATCGTTTACTATCTGAAATAAAGCGAATTGAAATATTATTAAATATTTTAACAACATAAATTTTCTGATTAACTGAATATCTGTCATTGTACCGTTTAATTAAATAAGGTAAACACAGTCGACTTTGTGCTTTTCATTTGTCTACACAAGATCTATAGAATGAAGCTGGTCTGATAATGGAACCTTAAGGTAGCCTCTGTCATTAAACGGAGCAACTCCATCGAGTCTTGGCTATCTTTACAAGATTCAATAAAGGTCTGCTTTAAAAAGGAGATTTCAATTTTGAACTGAGGTACTCTCTTAGGTCGTCGCTAAGTCGGTTGTCAACTATAAAGCATTTTTGTTATGGAATTTATAAATATGGAAAAGAGGAGATGAGACGCCACTCTGAGGAACACCAGCATTGATATCGCACCACATAATGACACTATCGTCAACGCAGATACGTTGCCACTGCCTAGCAGGAGATATATTGAGAGAAGCCAAGATATTGAGAAGAATGAATATCATCAGTATTCTTAACCAGAGCAGTAATAGTGCTATGGCCCTTACGGAAAACGGATTAACAAGGTGAATTGCATCAATAAAGGCCATTAATTGATAGTTTAAGAGTTCTTCAAGGACCTTGGAGAGAAATAGAAGGATTAATATGGAAGAATGAGGTGGGGTTCGCCTTATTCGGAATAGGAGTAACGTTTTCGTATTTCCAAGATGAAGGAAAAAACTCCAGTCGAAATTGAGGTATTAAGGATGTTGGTAATTACGGGAGTCAGGATGCCTATTATAGGAAGGTACAAGGAAGTTTATAGGAAGGTACAGTAATAATTAGGAAGGTCTAATCATTACTATTACATATTTATTATTTATATCGTATACCTGAATATTAAGTTTCATGATTTTATCTTAGATAATGGAGAAATTCCATGCAAACTTTGACTTCCCTATTTCAATCCACAATATAAAGTTACTATATCATATCTCAAGTCAACTCTGCGTATGCAATTGCAGACACAATATGATGGTTTTAAACAGCAATATAAATACAATGGAGTGCGTACGAGCACAACAATGATACCGTATGACGTATCTTATGACTTTGCGATGAATAATTTTATGTATTTAACATATTAAAACAATAAAAACTTTCTGCGCTTAGTTTAAGTGCGAATTTCGTTTAATTCATTTATTCAGAGTAGTTGTTTTCAAATCATCGTGTAGGTAATAAAGGAAGTAGTGAATACAAGCGTCGTGCAAAATATTAAGATAAATTTTAAATCAATATAATTAAAAATAGAACTAACGCAATGCCATCTGTCGCTACAATAACCGTTATTTAGGTTTCTCACTCAATTTTCGCTGTAACTTTCAAAATTTATGTTAGTTTTTAGTGTTAATTTAAAAGCATTCATTTCATGTGACTTTTCAAAATATGCATATGAAGTATGTAAAATTGTTAAGCTAAATATATATATATATATATTTTCATTTTATAAGTTTTATTTATTTTATACATTCCTCACACGTATCTAGTCGAGCAAAAGTGATAATTTGAGTGTAAAATAACTTAAGCAAATATTTTTAATCAATAAACGAAAATTTGAATGAAATAAATAGCAATTAATAATAGTATTTTAACTTTTAAAGTCCTCTTTAACAGAGTTTAAAATCGAAAAGGTTATACTATTCAGCTGAATTATTTGTGTTTTCTTGTAAATAATAATATCACATATTTTGACTTTCACGATCATTATCTATAATAAAAAAAACTAACTCACCCTTTCCGCTTCTGGTTAACACTGAGTCTCTGTACGATTGTGTACTACAAAATGTGTACTCTATATCGATGCCTTACTTTCTCAAACTCGTATCTTAAAAAAATATGATTTTGGCTTTTTGTTGTCTATCTAAAGCTATCGTTTTGATTAATAACTGCAGCAAACTCTTATCTCAATACGCTGTACTAAACGTGTAATAAGCAATACCAAAAATATAGGTATCTCTCTCACACCCATTTCAGTAACTGCGTCAAACTCGTATCTTGAAATACGTGGTTGTGAAGCTAATCGTCATGCAGGAAGCTCCAGTTTTGTTTACCGCTTTCTTGAGATGCGATGTTGCCGCACTTATAGCATTGCGGGAAAAGTTTGAGATAGGATTAGATTTTTGAAACAATACTATTGATAACGCAGTTCTTAAGGTCCAATATGGACAACTGTATTGAAGGAGTCAATCGTGATGAGATGACAGTAAACAGTAGTGATCCATTCACTATTGAGCCTTGTAATGATCTGACCATTACTACAAGTTCTGAAAAACCTTCTGCCATAAAAATTCTTGAAGAGAAACGAGTAGTCCTGAATCCTAAATCCGGGCGTTTTGTTTTTACGGACCAGTATCAAGAAACCAATACTACAATACCAGTAAACGCCGTTTTGGATGAAAGAACGGGTCAATTTGTTTCAGCAAGCTTTGATGACTTAAACTTTACCTCAGGATCCGACTATTCACCAAGTGAATCTGAGGATCTTTCTTCTGAATCAAGTTTATCTGACAGTGGACCTTCATATTTATTATTGGACGAATCATCTGGAATAATCACAAAGAAGAAATCATGAAAAGGTCAGGGAAATGCTTTGAACTGGACTAGGAATCAAAGAAAACGTAAGAGAATGCAAGGTAAAGAATATTCATCGATCAAAAGAAGCAAAGAAGTGACTGGTGTCATGGAAAGACGAAAGGAAAGAACTTTAAAATCTCGTTGCTGTTCAGAAACATGCTCGAAAAAATTTGGTAAGCAATGCAACCAAGTATCAGAAGACAGAAAGGAAACAGTAGTTAAGTTTCTGAAGTAACAGGTGTAACTGTAAACCCCTTGGTTTTTGCTGCCAAAATTAAATTCTCATATTCATTTGGAACGTAAATTCTGTCCTTTCTCCTAATGAGTCTTTTAGCTGTCCCAAAATTTCTATCACATTGTAGAAACGAGTGGCCACGGACAGGAAAGTATTGATATATTTTCTCAAAACGATTTGTTGCAACAAGAGTGAGTAAGAATCTTATAAGGGTATTATTTCTATTTTGTCCTCCACAAGCATCGCTAAAAAGTGGTAAGTGTAGAAATTAGCAGAATTCGTCTTTAAGTCGTGAACACAAAACACATACAGCCATAGTTTTCTCAAATAAAACATCTCTTGAACTGGGATCTTAGGAATCGGCAGATTTTGCATATAATCAAATACAATGGCTCCTACATCTTCTCTTTCTTGACACAGTGCCAAAATTTGTTTCTGTTTATTATAAAATTTTTTAGCACGTTTAAGATGTATCACTTTTTTCTGCAACCGCCACTTTCTTCGCATTCTTATTGAGAGATGAACTTTTTAAAGGGGGGGGGGGGGGGGGGGGTAAGGTCAAATCGTACAAAAAAAAGCCATGTTTTCGTGATTTTTTTTCTGACGACACAGTTAAAATTTATTTACTCAACCAATGATACATTAAAGTATGACATTCGAAGAATGTTTCATCAAATTTTTACAAAGAAATATTAAAAAATACGGCAATGGCAGCAATTGTTTGGACGTGTCTCGAAAAAAAGTTGAATTGCGGTGCCCCTCATAACTTGGTGCTGGATTATCTGAAATCAAAAAATCAAAGTTCATTCGTTAGATAATAGTTTTCCCCAGGTAACGCTGTCGAGTTTTTTTTTTCCAATCTTTTTTTCATTTTTTCGAACACTTTGAAGTGAAAAACACAATTTTGTGGGAAAAAATCGGCTAATTTGTTATTGCAAATACAAAATTATAAATAAAAAAAAAACTCGACAGCGTTACCTCGTAAATGATGTGCAGAAATAGTGTTTAAAATTTCAAAAGGATCGGTGCAGTGGTTTTGGAGTTATCAGGGGCACCGTCTTTGAAAACGTGAGTTGTGGGAAAAACGCTTTAAAGTTTTAATCACAAAAAAATCCAGTTAAAACGTTTATAAGCTAATTTTATCGACATACCTCACACTGAGTCATCAATGCCAGGTCCATAGAGGCTGTTGCTATCATCGATGATGTCTAATGCATCTTTTTGCTCCTGCCTACGAAGAATCCTGCCTTCTTTGGTTTGTCGTTCAGCTTCCTGCTCTGCTCGGCTTATGCGTATGGAGTCAGTGGATCGCGCCCAGTCATGAGCGCTTGATCCACAACTGATTTCCATGTCTTGCATGAAGGTGAGTAAAGCAAACGAACCTTCATTGAAGACACTGGCTGCCACATAAGCTGCAATTTCAACGACGACAAAGGTTCCACTCAAATGCTTCGGTGAGATTTTCCAAATAAGTTGGTTCAAACTCTCATTGTTGTTCTGCGTGAAGCCTCCGACACATCGTTCCAGGAGGGCATCTTTGCTCAGATCTTCGTAGATAGGCTTGATTGCATCCAAAACATCCTTGGGAAGAGCACAATACGTGTGTTTGAACGAATCCAATGCATTAGCAGCTGCAGCTTTTTGCCATTCGCACCAGGAGTCCGCGCCGTTCGGGCATTTTTCGTGCTGTGGATTCTCGTCCGTCGAACTGTAGTGAAAGAACGTTGCCCAGATAGCGTTCTTCATATTTTCTACGGAATCAGAGTGACGTCTGATAGCCAATCCGTAGTATACCGTCAATTTTTCGATAATTTTGGCCGTAAGCTTCCCTTTACCAGACAGACTCTTTCTTTTGATTTTCTTTCCAGCCTTAGTTTCGGTATCTACAACGGTCTTTTTGACTATTTCACGTAGACGAGTGCCCATTCTTTTTTGAACATGTCCTACACATTCTTTTTTTACTATTGAAAAATCATCACCATAAGGTTTAGAATTCACTAACCCGGAGTAAGCTTTGGAGTCACCGTCGCCGATATAGTTGCGATATCGTACACCATTATTTACCGAGCGTTGAAACATTGTTTTTATCGCTTCGACCTCCATATTTCCAAATGCACCAGTATGATTTGCCTGACAGTTTCCAGTATCTACATGAGCTTCATGCCATTCTTCGTATTCGGCAGAGTTCAATTTGTGTTCCCAAATTTTACATTCGTGGCAGTATGAACTTTTGACGAGAATGTCAAGCACTTTACCAGTAAAGTAACCGATTAGCGAGGTGACGCCGAATAAAAATGAGTAGCCTTTTTTTTCCATATTCCGTCGCCTGATACACTGAGTTCGTCGGCATCTTCAGTTTTTTTTTCTTCGGCTGTTGCTGCTCTTTCTTCTTTTGTAGCAGATGAAAAAAATCGATTCGCTACTTCTCTTATAGTCGAGCACATTTTCTTCACGTAATTATAGTCGCTCTTGATAAAAATGAACTAGACAAATCCATCAAGCCGCAGAACTTATCACAGCCAACTAATCCAAGGCCTAATATCCTCATCACGAAGACAAACCGATAATTCACTTCGTAAATACCAGAGTTTATTCGAGCACTAGACAGAACGTTTGTAATTTGTTTACAACTTTCGCACGACACTTTGATGTGAAATCCAAGACCTTTTTTCTTAGTCGAATGAAAATTTACTTTTCCATCACACTTCATACACTTCACTAGCGTAGCAATTGTCGCAAAGACCAATAAAAAATCAATTACCCTATAATGTCGTTCAAGATCCTCCCTAATTTGATCTTCAACGGTCATTTTTATTTTTTTAGCTGACGCGCTTTTTGTCGTAATGTTTTCGCTTTTCCGTTTGTGGGGAGGTAAAATTTTTTTGGGTCGATATAATCTCGAACCAGTGGATTGTCTATCAGATCTTCCAATTTTTTTGGGCATTTTTGTAATAATTTAGCAACAAAAATGAATGAAAACAGAGGTGAAATTATGGATATGGATAGGATATTTTCTGCTAACTGAATTTTGTACACCACACTGACAAAGTATACAGATCAGGTATAAACCCGTTTGTCCTTGTATTGCCTTGAAATTTCGATAGATGGAACTGGGAGGTAAGGTACTACATTAATAGAGAGTGAAACATCTGCCGGGTAACAATAGCGCGCTCGGGTCGAGGCGTTGGGGTTGGTTCGGGTATAGGTACAAAAATCCGGCACATATAAAAATACTCATAACTTCGTCAATTTTGCTCCAATTGACTTGAAATTTTAACACAATATTCTTCAGATATTACGGATTGAATTTCGAAAATAAAAAAAAAATGCAAAAAAAAATACCTTACCCCCCCCTTAATTTCGCGTCGAGTTCTTCGCAAGTTGAGCAAACGTCCACTTGTGGGCGACCGAATCTGTAGCCATGATTTTCATTAAAATATTTTCTGTAATAGTCGTATTTTACGGATATGTTCATCAATAGCCGCAATTGTTTCGTTTGTTAAGACATTACACCGATTACGATGCTGTCCTCGTTGATCTTTAGGTAGTTTTCCCTCCGATTTAAGGGAGGTAAGGCGAAAAAGTGCCTTATTTTTTATAGCGTATAAAATAGAGAAGGCTTGACGGCATACCTGAATTTTTTCATTTTCTTTAATAGCAAAATATTTAAACGAACTGTCACGTTTTTTCGGATTTTCGTGTTTTGAACGGTGGCGATTAAGCCTTCCGTATTCAATCAGACTCATCATATAATTAATCACGGCCAATAGTCATTTATAGCGACGGGTGCTGTGCCCAAAACAGAAACACTACTCTGTCAAATGCATTGTTGTATTATGCAAAGGTCCATCATGCTGAGATACAACAAAAGTACCTAGTTGTAGGACACACACAAATGGAATGCGATTCCGTCCATGCCTCCATCGAACGCAAAAAGAAAGGAAAAGAGCTGTATGTGCCAGCTGATTTTAATACAGTAATTAAGCAATCCAGACTGTCACAACCGTACCAAGTTAATTATTTAAATTACAGCTTCTTTAAAGATTTTTCATCAATAAATTATTTAAAATCAATAAGGCCAGGCACTAAAAAAGGCGACCCATGCGTCGTGAATATACGAGCTCTGAAATACACAGTTGAAAATGAAGTACAGTACAAATTAAGTTTTGACGAAGAGTGGCAAAAATTGCCTCAACGTAAATTGCGGCAACAGTTGCAGACTAATGATGATATGACAACAATACCAAGCCTCTACAATGAGCGATTAACTATTACTAAAAGAAAATATGACGATCTACAAGACCTGAAACTGATGATCCCAGCTGATTATCATGATTTTTACGACAATTTGCCACACGATTAGTTTAGTGTCGTACTACCTATAATTTTTTTATAAATAAAAATTTGATAATATGTTCTTATTATTGTTTTATTCAATCATTTAAATTACTTTTACTTATTACTTTAAATTCAGATAAATGCAACAAACTTTTATCTTTTATGTCGAGTTACCAATATAAAGGTAACTGTGAGTGCAGCAAACTCGTATCTCAAAAATCGTGCCAAAACCTTAGAGTAAATAATTTTAATTGCTTTATGCTATCCACACACATAGCACAGGTATATTTCTAACTTACTGCATTAAACTTTTAACCAATATTCTGATATTTTACAAAATAAACGTTTTTTATTGTTTCCTGAACACTAGTCTGTTTTAAGATACGAGTTTGAGAAAGTAAGGCATCGATATTTAACTTTGAAGCTTAATAATTCTAGACTCCTAATTAATTATGTTTATACGTAGAATTGAAATCTAATAATTAAGGATTAGTAATATTGGGAGTCACTATGAATTGTCAATGTTATAATTTGACATAATTCACTTAGTTTTGTGAAGTTAATTAATTTTATTATTCACTTCGATTCGGACAAGGCGCGTCTCCTTGTGTGTTCGTTATCGGCTTCCTATATGACTTGTCAATGTTATAATTTGACATAATTCACTTAGTTTTGTGAAGTTAATTAATTTTATTATTCACTTCGATTCGGACAAGGCGCGTCTCCTTGTGTGTTCGTTATCGGCTCGCATCGCAGTATTGAGATTGCTAGTGATGTACCGATGGGTTAATTTATAGTCAACGTAAGTATACACAAATCGCAATAGTATTCGCAAAAAAACTAAAGTGTAAATCGATTGATCTTTTATAATCATCATTGTCACCAGGTCTATTAATGTTCCTACTACTGAGGCTTTTGCTATGAACCATCGATGATACTTTTATGATGTGATTTTATCATCTATATATTTGCATATAATATATTTGTTGATGGCTAAATGGGCTTGGCTCATTTATATTGTACCTCCACCTACGATGTACCTGATTTAAAGGCAAATAAATATTATAATTATATAATTCAAATCAAATAGGGATAACGTGACTCAATCCACCACGCGGACAGCGGATTGGTGGCTAACGACTGAAGATGTAGCCGGACCAACGGCTTGAACAGCCTCCAAAGCACGGAGGAGCTCGTGATAATATTTTTTTTCACCCATCCTATGGGCAGCCATTGCGCAAGCGGTTAACTTCCGCATCACAGGCCGAGCACGCTATAACCGCTGCGCCGTCAGCTCCTTATTTCTTATGTTAAAATTAAAATATTTTGTTCAAAAAACTTGAAAATAAAGAATGTTATCTCCTCGTACGCCTATCCGTAGGAGAGTTGCATAGGAGCTAGAGTCCACTCCTCTCACCGTTTAGGATTAGCTATTACCCAAATGTTTTATTAGGAGAACTGCCAACATTTTTGAAATTGTACTTACTATTGACGATGCTTGGGAGATTAAGCAGGATGCAGTCGAAATGTTTGTGACCTGCTAATGGCATTTGAATGCGCTTTATATAACTATTAGCTTTCCACCAGCGGATTCACCCGCGTGGTCCTGTATTATATAGTTACAACAACAAAATAAACAATCCTCTTGAATTACCTTCTCTATTTAAAAAAACCGCATACAAATCCGTTGCGTAGTTTTAAATATCTAAACATACATAGGGACCGACACACGGAAAGCTACTTTGTTTTATTAAACTATATATTGATGAAACATGATTAAAATTGGAGCACACCATACTGTGTCAAAAAGTCTAATTAAATTATATTTTCCTGTGAGAATTTAAAAATATATACCTAACCTAGCGAAACTACTAACATGGGCGTGCCCCAAGGACAAATATTAGGGCCATTACTTTTATAATAAAAATAATAAAATAATTTATTTCTCACCACAAATGACACAATATAAAAAGTAATAAATAACACAATCAGTAATTTTAAGAAATTTGGTCACTTATGGGAGACTTTTGCCTGTGAAGGTTTTAAGACCCGTCTTTCAGATCACCAGGCCCCCGAATATACAGTGCATCTAGTGTATAGAGCTAAACAATGTTTGAATTAATTAAAGTTAAGTAATTTATTAATAAACTAATTTCCGTGCATTAGATTATTATGTAATGAGAAAACAAAAATAAAACTATTTAAACTGAATGGGTAAATGTACGTATATATATATGTTGTGCGTGTACGTACTTACGTACGTACGTGTTTCATCATTAGTTATTATCTGTAGCAAGAGTTCGGTGTTTGTATATGTGAGAGTCTGAAGATATTCCATAACTTTTATTTTGCAACACCATTGAGGTCATAAATAGCTCCTTTTGTTTCTTCTTGTATAAGTGAGGTCCTAGAAATACAATGAATCTTCTTGCAAAAGATGAAACGTCGACATTTATTATGCTAAGGTATTTTGTATGTGGCATGTTGTCTTATAACTATATGCAGCACAAATAGTTGTCGAATAGTAAGGATTCTGCTGATTTTATATAGATCTTCGGTTGGATAAATATATGGTTTAAAATGAATAATCTTTTGTGCACGCTCAACGTCAATTATGTGAGTCTTCGCCATCCCACCAGGGCCGCCACATCTCCAAGTCGGGCCTGGGACCATATTCCCCCCCCCCTTTTTTTTCGTCGCGCCACTTTTACTATTTGTTAAAAAAACTATTAAACCTTCTCTAACTCTACTTCTAACCAAACAATAAATAATTTATATTTCTTACTAAGGTTCAGTGTTCGAATAAGAACACTTGGGGCTGAATTCTTACATCACTATTTTTTATTCTACATTTAATTTAATTTTAATCAAATAAATAAAAGAAAGTGTAACTTAAGAATTGAAAATTCAAGTATTCATAATAAATATCAACCAATTATTTAATTACCAACCAATTACAAAACCATAAAAATGATGAAACGAAAATTCTATATCCAATCAGTCATAGGATTTTTTATTTTAACTACTTTAAATACAATTATTGGTGAATAGAGGGCGTATTCAGAGAAGTTCCAATTTACTAATTCCTCAAAGGTATAATTGTGGTAGAAATTATGATTGACTAAATTTTATATAATCATTAATCAACACATATAATTAACTTTATTTTAATGTTATGGACGGATTAACAAGGAAAGTCTCTGTATACAAGATGGCTGAAGGAATTAGTTAAAACAATGATTAAATCAAATATAATCTTATCAGGGCCCGTCAAGTGTAATACACTCTGTTTTATAAAGGCCTTAAAATTCTAAAATACTTTATTTACTAAATACAGGACCGGACCGGGCCCCCCCTGGGCCCGGGCCCGAGGCAATAGTACCCACTTCCCCCCTCCCCCATGTCCAATTCCATAGGTAACTAATCAGTGACTGACGAGAGTTTTACGGACTCTACCACTTTTTCTTAATTTATATGAATGATCATTCTCACTTTATGAGAAAAAGGAATTATTTGCAGATGACAACTCTTTAGTTTTTAAAGCTTAGATTGTTATGAAAATTTGGATAGTGCTCTCTCCGAAGTTTTACATTGGTTTGATAATAATAATTTAAAATAAAATGCATATAAAGTTTACACTATCTAATGTAAGGCAAAATATTATAAATAATAAAATCGACTGTATCATTGAGATCTTTGGCCCTGTAACGATAGAGTCCCGACTGCTATGGGGATACGCATATTGATGCCCTCTCGAGTAGAGTAAGTTCTGCAGCCTTGTTAATAAAATCAGACTTTTGACAGATGCTCAAACGGCAATATTGGTGTATTTCAGTTTTTTTGTAGTGTAAAAAAATATATCCTAGTGTTGTGGTAAAATCGAGCCTAAAAAAATGACAAAGGACATTAAGTTATTCTGCCTGGCCACAAAAACATAGCTCATGATTTTACAGAAACAAATCAGATAAATTATCATTACTGTGGAATTATTATATTTAGCAACTTCCACGCCTAATCAGTATTTGCAAGACCTGTTAATTCTTATTCACCGCACTGTTCTATTTTTATGTTACCAAAATGTACATATGTGTGGGAACTCGTAAATGGCCTTCAGCATGTATTTATTATTTTGACATATCCCAGAACGCAGCTGTAAGTTTTTTGCCAACCATCAAGTGAGTGCAGACGCACTCACTTGTAAAAATTAAGTAATTACACACTCTGAAGGTTCTCTATCTCAAACAATCTCTTTCCGCTCTACATCAACCTCCTCGCGCTCTTTATCCAATTTCTTTCCTGGATATTCCTCTTCATACTTCTGATTTTTTGCCTACTTCTACCCTGTGCATGCTGTCCGTTTGAGGAATTCTCTCTCAAAGGATGTAAAAAGGGCTCGCTTAATGAGACGCTTCGACGATCAAGTGAAGATATTTCCTTTCCCTTTCTTAGAACTATGTATAAACTGTATAAACTATGTATAAATTTGTATTCTTATTTAATATGTAAAGGTATGTGTTGTATCCTTCTCATTTTTGCACATATTGCCGCTGTCTTCTTTTCATATTAATCTCCTCTATAGATTGCTTATAAATAGCTGCTTACCAACAAGGCCGCAAAGCAATAGGTATTGTATACTCTATATTTCTTTGTTTTTACTACAAATATCATGTGTGCAATAATTATTATGCCAAATAAAATTCATTTATTGATATTGTCATTAAATACACTGTAATTGTAGGACATACAAAACTTGTATCATTGTTGCAAAAAAACATATGCATCTCTTATCCTTTTTGTTGGTTATGTACAGTGGTCGGAATTAGGTAGAGTTATTTATGTACTTACACTGATTTCATACAGCGAAAGAATAAAGTGGATATGCCTCAAATCCCGAGATTAATTTTAAAGAGCAGAAAATTCGCGTGATTTTTTCAATTTATTTACTTTAAAAAATTATTTACTTTTACACAATTTAAACTACTGCACGCACGACGTTGCCAAGCTTACATCAATGAAAGAAAGAAATAAAGAAAGAAGAAATAAAGAAATCCCGGTAAGGTCCACATTAATATCAACATTTCGATGCAAGTACATAAATAACTCTACCTAATTCCGACCTCTGGTTATGTATGATATATGATAAGAATACTGGACGAAATAATGATTTAACTAATATTAATATAAAGAAGGACATGGAAGCCATGCATATCAAGAAATATCTTTCGCGATCGCGTAGACATTATCGTAAAGCTATATCAAAAGTCAGAAATCAGAATCGGCGAACTTGTTTGTGAGAAAACATTACGTGTTGTGTTTTTTGTGACCTTCCGTGTTTACTGCTGCGGATGCACCGATATGCACATTGGCCGATACGATACCGAAATCTATTTTTAACCGAGTTTAAGCGGTTCATTTTATATAGACATTGAATATTTTTTGTGTTACCTATCGAATCATGAAATATATATTTTTTTTTCAAATAGATCCGACTTCGAACTCTGCATGTTCAAGGGACATAGGCTTTAATTTACGCGGTGTTTCACGGGAAAACAGCTAATTTGATAGAAATTGGTTCAGATTTCACAAAGAAACAGATGTTATAAATGTTTATCATAGTCCAGGGAATGTTTGAACGGAACACCAGTTCATCTAATTTTGTAATAAATTTGTTAATTTATAGACTTCTGAGACTACCTATACAGACGTTTGCAATTGAGGAAAACTATATTCTGCTACCTGTTTTACCAGTTATTTTGATATTATTAAATTCAGTTCTGTTCTTTTACGACTGTTGTGTACCTGTGTTTATCGTTGAAAAACTTCCACAACAAATAAAAAGGTATTTACAAGATTCATTTTTATATTCAACTAGCTAGTTACACCAAAATGACTTTAACCAGTAGCCAAATCTGCTAATGTTAACGTTATTATGGAATGTCAATAGCGCTTCAAATACAATAATTTATGATACAGTTCTTGTTATTAGATTACAAAATAATAAATATATCTGTCGCCATTGATCTGTGAGGAACAAATTGCACTTATAATATCGGACTTCAGGTAGATAGTGCAATGGCAAAATGTCAGTAGTTGAGATTCAGAATTGGGGCCCAGAGCTTTATTAATCGTCCGCGTCGTAAAGTTATATTGAGCAGCATTTCTAACGAATATTTATTCATTATATCGTGTAAAATACCTGAAATAAAGTTTCATCCCCTATTTTATCCCCCTAGGGGTGGAATTTATCCAAATCTTTTCTTACGGGATGCCTATGTCATAGTAGCTTTATGTATACAAAGTCTAAGATCGGTTTAAAATTGACAAAGTTTCATACAAACTTTCATCCCCTATTTTATCCCCATGGGGGTAGAATGAATTAAAATCTTTTATAAGCGGATGGCTACGTCATAACATCTACCTGCATGCCAAATTATAGCCCGGTCCGTCCAGTGGTTTGGGCTGTGCGTTGATAGATCACTATGTCAGTCAGTCACCTTTGAGTTATATATATTTAGACTAGCATTAATCACGACTGATGACTAATTTTTGTTAGTTTGTCCGTCAGGTAGAGTGTTAAAAAATATTTAACACGTATTTTTTTATTTTTTTCGTAATCATACAATTACGGCGTTACATTGAGTTGAAATTTCGCATGACGTCACGTTAGAGTACGTTTTCTACTCAACTGTGACGTAGCGAGTCCCCACTCCTCAACTTTAATGCCTGTTATCTAAGCTATTTCTTGTTAAATTGAAGTAAAAAAAAATACGTATCTAATATTTTTCTATTATCTAACTGACGGACTAAATAGAATTGCATTATTTTTACCCAGTCATCATCCCTATTTTGTCACCCGCGTATGATGTAGCTTCCCTTGGGTGAAAGAATTTTCGTGATTGGATCGGTATTCCCGAAAATTACTCCCTGCAAACAAAGTCAGAAACTTACCTCTTTATAACAATTAGAATAGATTGATTGTATCTAGCAATAAGCCCGCCTTTTGTATACTTCTCTCTTATTTTGCTTCTTTGTTTGTGTCCTTTGTTGTAGGTACCATAAATAATATATTATTATTATATTCTTCTTTAATCAAGACATCTATTAATAAAGTTTGATTGTTAGTTTACTGAATTAAATTAAGTTTGTTTATAATATGATTTGTAAAGGTCATATTGGACTTGTCGATTCTTCTCAAATGGTTATTTTTTTTTTATAAAAAGTAATGGAAATTATATCAATCGAAGAAATATTAATTTTGACTCGTAATTAGGTATTATGATAAGGTTTGAAAATATGTTTAATTGATGTATACGCCAAATAAATGGAAGAATAAAAAAATCTTGCATAAAAGGGCAAAGGTGAAAAACTTTTTAGGTGAAAATCACGAACCTAATAATGTCGATGCAGCCGGGACTGATGGCTAAACAGGCCTTCCGAAGCACGGAGAAGCTCGGGATGTTAAATTTTGGTCACCCATCCTGTGACCGGCCTTTGCGAAAGTTGCTTACTTTTAACGCAATCTTTACGACCCCATTAATATTAAATGCAAATATTTCAGATGAACAAATCAGTCGCTTTGCTGTTGTTCTTTAGCGTGGCTTGTATGAGCGCTCCTGCCACTGACTCGGAGCTGGAGTCGATTCTGGATGATATATTCGGCCCATCAACTAGTACCAACGAACCGGCGGTAGTAGCTGACAAGAATCAACCTCCTGTCGACCTTGATACTATTATAAGGGAGGTATTCGAATCGAACGTCACAACTTCTACCACCAGTACTTCACGAACCGAAGATGGTAAGTGATAAATTGTATTCAGGCCCGAGGCAGAAACTTCCTTCTTTTTCCATCGCCCCCTATGCTCTGTGTATGATATTTTAAGGGATTTAAAACATGTCCATCCTGTCGTAGCCTATAATGTGTATGAAAAGATTTGTAAAGTTCATTTTTTTACTGTAAATGGGTATTATTTAATTATATGTTTGGCACCCCCTAAGACTGACTATTAGATTGGAACTTATTCTTCTACATTTAAAATTAGGCAGAAATAAATACTTAAGTTAATATGGCCGTTCAATTGATTGGTTACCCTTGTTGCATGGCATAATTTGATTGCATAATAGAGTAGCTTGGCCGGTCACGGGATGGGTGACGAAAAAAATATTATCTCGAGCTACTCCGTGCTTCGATAGGCACGTTTAAGCGTTGTTCCCGGCTGCATTTGCAGTCTTTAATACCATCCATTCCGCATTAGGCCGCATGAAGACCAGAGCCCTTGCAATAGGGACATAGAAGGGCTGATGATTGAATTGTATTAAGATTTTAATGGGTGCCAAGTGGTAGCTAGAGTATGTCACGCTTCCTTTAAAAGTCTCTGCGGTGGTGGAGTGTGAGTTGTGTTCTTCAAAATATAATCTAGCGAAGCGATGGCTGAACCATGCGTCATGCTCATACGACTGCTGCTGCTAGAGAGATGAGTCCGCTCTAAACTACTTACTCTTCACTGATTATGCATATGAAACAAAACAGGGTGATAAAGGCAGCGCTTGCTAAGTTTCTTGCCGGTTTATGTGTATAGTATATAGTATCTGTGTAGTATAGTATACTACAAAAATATTTAATAATTTAAATATTTGTTTGCATTTATTAAGCTTCGAAACTACTGAAAAAGTAACAAGTGTTTTAAGAATTTGCCGCGTCAGTCCTATTGGGTCTCGGGTAGCTCAATGGTCAGAGCAGTCGCCCGAATTGCGAAAGGTTGTGGGTTCGAATCATATATTTATTTTTTGGCGCCAGGAAATGCATTACTGCACACTCGCTGCATACCGGGATCGGCGGGTTACGTGGGGCTCTACCTATTAAAATCTAGCGATGTCCCTCTCCATGAGAAGACAACTTCTCGTACTGTTCTCCCCGATTTCGATCCACCCCTTGCAGGACTTTCCTGCAAGGTGGGGGTAAGACTCAGGAACATTTTAGTATGCCCCCCATTAAAGACGGGGTCGTTTACCTGGGTCTGATGAATTATAAAAGCATTTTTTATAAAAAATGTTAATGAATTTTACTATAGCAGATTATTTATTTATTTTTATATTCCAGAGACGGAATGTGATATAGGAGGACAAAAGGGGGCATGTACACCTTATTATCTTTGTCCTGAAGCAGCTGAGGTATCAGAAGGCATTATTGATATTGCGTAAGTACTAATTAATTTCTTTATTATCTAACTTATTATGCAGTATAATCAGCAAAGTGGCCGGCAACTCTTTAGCCATGATTCTAGTCAAAGGACATTTTCTCTATGTTATGGTGGGATTTCATTTAATTTTACTACTTTAACATGTGGATAGATAGATAGATTTTTTATTTTATTTATTTCTTGCATTACACAATGCAGTATTAGGATGTTTATAAAATAAAACAAAATTATCATTATGGGGTCCATAATGTCCACGTCGGGCACAGCAATTTGGAGAGGGGAGGACACTGCTTTAGAATATTGGTAATAAGTATTTCCTTTCTTTTATAAATTAAATAATTTATGTTTTGGAAACTTAGCCATTTTTCAATTTCAATTCAATCAGATAGATTACACTTTATTGCAAACACCAAATACAAAACACACAAAGAACAATATTAAGCTATCTGACACAATCGGCAGTCTTGTCACTATAAATAGTGAAGAACGAACGATAAAGGATGATGATTATGGATTTGATAGACACTGCTCTACCAACTTTTTTCATTTATATTTATTCCCAAATTTATCCACCAAGAGACATGTTAAAGTTGTAACATGAAACGAAATATGGTCATAACATCGCTACAATGTGTATCTTATGGCTAGAATCAATAGGGATGATGACTGGGTAAAAAAAATGCAATTCTATTTAGTCCGTCAGTCAGATAATAGAAAAATATTAGACACGTATTTTTTTTACTTCAATTTACCAAGAAATAGCTTAGATAACAGGCATTAAAGTTGAGGAGTGGGGGCTCGCTACGTCACAGTTGAGTAGAAAACGTACTCTAACGTGACGTCATGCGAAATTTCAACTCAATGTAACGCCGTAATTTTATGATTACCAAAAAAATAAGAAAATAGTTGTTTAATATTTTTTAACACTCTAACTGACGGACAAACAAACAAAAATTAGTCGTCATCCCTATTCTGGAGAGCAGTAGCGAATATCTGTGACTTGACTTTCATTTGTCAGTTGATGTTCATACTTAAAAATATGACTAGTCAGAAGCTTGGCTTGTATTATTTCTTGCATTATTTAACACTGATTTGAAAAAATAATGAATTGGTTCTGAACCATAGCGAGGCTCTCAAATGCGCGGGTTCCACAAACACTCGGGACCCGTAGCATTTGCTACTTTTGCTACGTGGCTAATCCGACCCAGCTGGAGTATTAGGTTAAAAATATAAGAGGTGCTCAATGGTGCAGTGGCCAGCACGCTCGCTCTGCGAAACTGTTGTTAAGTAACTTTCGAAAGGGTCGGTCACGTGATGGGTAGCCATAAAATATTTCTATCTACCCCCTGCTTCAGAAGGTACGTTAAACCATTAGTCCCGGCTGAATTTGCAGTCTTTAATACCCTCCAATCCGTATAAGGCATGGCCCATCTTAATTAACCATCCATAACGAAGGCCTGAGCCCCTGCAGTGGGGACGTAAAAGAGCTGATGATGATGATGATGACCGGAAATAGGTCATACCGTGCTGCTAGATATACCCCAACACTTAGAAAACGTTGTATAATACCTAATATTTTTTACAGGGCCCAAGAAACAGGATGTCTGTCGTACCTGGAAGTTTGTTGCATTCATACTTCAGTCATTGATGTACGCGTATAAAACTTTTAAATTTGTAAAATAAGTGTATTATTTTTTAATAAATGTTTATTATAATTTCACAAGATCATTTTAAGTCGTGGCACACCTTAGTTCACATGGTATTCACATCACTCCATGTTACCCTGGGTGGACCACGGATACTTTTTCTGGCCAGTGGTCCACCTAAATGATAAGGAACATAAAAATCAAAAGTGCGTACAGTCCGTGATCCACCCATGGTAAATCTTAATGAATAATATGCAAATCAAAGATATCAATAGACCATGACCTACTGACAATTATGTTGGTCCATGCTATTAATTCTTTATGATCTTGTTCTTGATTGTACTAAGATTAAATTGTAAACTCTGAAAATAAACAAAGTTGAATAGAAAGTATTTAAATATTAACCTACTATTATAAAGGCGAATGTTTGTAGACTTGAATGTTCATTACATCTTAAAGAAAAAAACTACTAGACGAATTCTGGTGAAATCATAAGGTAGCTAATTCTAAAATTCAATTTGTCATAAATTCTAAGACACCTAATATCTTAATATTAGATCTATAAACAAAAGAAGCCTTATTTTTCTATATTTCATTACGAAGACCTTTATACATCAATTTGTTAATTCAACAGATGGAAAAGGCTTAAAATGTTATTATCAGTAATGTAATTTTTTTATATAATTTTAAGGAGAACATTTCCGTCATACATGATTTCTGGGTAGCTTTAACCATTAAGGTTGCACACGCGACGGAAGCTTACAAAATGGAGTCACTTCTCCCGTTTTCCCAAAATTTCCCTTCACTGCGCTGCTCCTATTGATTGTAGCGTGATGAAAAGTATACTATAACCAGCTCAGGAGTATGAAAAATAATTGTACCAAGTTTCGTTAAAATCCATCGAGTAGTTTTTGTTTCTATAACGGTTATACCGACAGACAGACAGACAGACAGACAAAAATTTTACTGATTGCATTTTTGGCATCAGTATCGATCCCTAATCACCCCACTGATAGTTATTTTGGAAATATATTTCATGTACAGAATTGACCTCTCTACAGATTTATTATAAGTATAGATTAAACAAACAAAGAGCACTTATCTTCATACATACGCACCGAAAATGGTCTGCATGTGAGCGCTCACATACCCGTGCGTATACGTCGTTGCACGCACACACTAACAAAACTATCGAAGGTATACAAGTAGTGTTCAAAAAATTTAACTAATAAAAACAACGATAATGTCTCATAATTTAATATCTCTTCAAAACAAAAATAATAATTACAGCAAAGCGGAAGAATAATATTATAATCTAAGCATTTACATAAAAAGTAAACAAGTTTTACAAGGAAAATACGTATAGCTTATAGTACTTATAGTAAAGAACTGCATTCCTGCGCTGAGTTAAGGTAAATATGATAAAAATAATCGAAAATAATTGTTAAATATTTGATTAATATTCCCATTACGTCCATAGCCCTGTTATCCTAACGCGATAATACCAAATTAAAATATTTCCATTGCATTTTCTTTACCATATAAGTGTTAATAATTATATAACTCATAGGCAGGCTGTATGACCAGTTGCAAGCCTCTCAAACTATGTTATAATGGGAATATAAATAAAATGGAAATTCATTATAGTGGCAGACCGATTCTATAAAACAGTATCACTAAAAACTAGTTTTATTAATGGGAATTAAAATATAACGGGAGTGCCAATTCACACTGGACGATAAATGCAACGACACGACTACTGCACGATATCGTCGGGCACTACTAGACGCTTACTGAGTGGTAAGTGTAAGTTTTACGCTAGCCGTGTAGTTAACGCTAGGGGCGCTGTACCGGATTCCATACTAAAATCTTAACGCGCTCACGATCGACAGTGAACGTAAACGTTAAAAAAACTTACATTAAGCGCTCAATATCGATGTGGTAAATTTTATCGCTGCCGATATTAGTTAATACTCTTATTCGCCGACAGATTGTCGTGCCGATATCGGGTGACGACACATTTTCCATCGTCAAATAATTTAACTCGTTCACTGCTGTCATTACTACATTATTATCAGCTCTAATATTATATTACAGTAAGAGTAATTAAAGTAAACGAGGCGAAAAATGTAATAAGGACCGTACATTGTGGCGTTCGGTCCTCTCTGCCTACCCCTTAAGGGATACGGTGTGAAGATATAGATTATTTTTGACCAACTGCTAGCAAGTCGTTGGTTATATCATGTGACATACCAATGTCGTTACGATATCGTTGTCTTCAGATCTATCGTCGCAGTGTGAAAACGCCAATTGATCCTATTAAAAAAACATTAACTAATTCAAAGATGAAACATGAAAAAAATCACTAAATAAAACTCGTTCAATAGATATCAGATAAATTGGAATGTTCTACGTTTATGAAATTGGCACTAGATTGGAGGGACTCTCATTTCGATAATTCTATTTATATTTATTTAAATTTATGTTATTTTGTATATTTTTACAATAACTAACGTCAAGCTCCGGAAAATGGAATCGTTGTAACTATATAATAGGAAAAAACTTGTCATCACATTAAGGCCATTAACTGTAGAAAAGCATTTGTTTTATTACTATTTTATATGCTTATAAATACATATTAGTATTATCTACTTTATCTTCTTTCAACCCCGCTATAGCACGGTCGAGGAACAGAGAGAATTTCGTACAATGACCCGGCATTACATATCTCTTTCACTTGTGCGCAAACATATTGCTATTGCGCTCGCACAGATGCATCTAGCCCACTATTTATATAAAAGTAGGCATAAAAATCAACAACCAAAATTCTTTCGGTTCCGAGACCGTGCTATACTGTAAATCGGGGGTGAAAAAAAAACTGTTGTTTACTTGGTAACTCATAAAAATACTAAATGTGATTTTTACAATAACATTATTAATGAAAAACGCTTAAAAATCCATTTTGTCACTCGAACCTTCAAGCATTTTTAATAAAGAATATTTTTCAGAATAGCATTGTGAATGGAAATGTAAAATAATATAATATTGCTATTAAGTTTCTTAGAAAAAAAAATGCTTTAATGGGGTATAACCAAAAAAAGGCAATATTTTTCAGCACTACTTTTTTCTGTTACCGACGTTGACCCCGTGAAAGATGGCATACATCAAGACTTTGGAACTATGTACCGGCATTCCTGAATACCTATCTTTATTACTATAGATAGCAGAATTATCATGGCCCCAGGTTGATTCGGTGAATAACTTTTAAAAACCTGCTCTAAAAACCTATTAAATTATACGTCTACATATCGGCTCAAGTATCGCAACGAAGGACAAAGTTTAATATTTCAATGGCCGCATCCATGTTCTTCACTTACAGGCACGTTATTGGTAATCAATTTTATATAATATAGAATATAGACTCACATAGAAGCGTTACTATACATTTATAATTTTATTAATACTATCTTCTTAAATGGTGTCGTTTTAAACAATTGCTATTTTTTATTCAAAGGGGTTACACATTTCCAGATACTTAATATAATTTTTATTATATTCAAACATTACTTATTTGATCAAAGTTTAACAATTAGACATTTGAGGATTTTGTTTTTTAGGTTAAATAGGTTTAATCAGTGATCATCCTGAATGCAAAGAAATCTAACTTCAGGGCCTAATTATCTAATTTTAATATCTACATCAATCCCTTTCAAATTGATAGATGAAATATATTCACGACCTCTTTTTATAACGTTATCGTTAATTTCAATGACCTTAGCAAATCGATAAATGTTTGAAAGCTGTTAAGAAATGTCAAACGAGAGATAAATGATAACTGCATTCTGTTTTCCTATTCATTCGACTGCGACTTTGAAAGTTACATAATTCCATGAATCGCTTGCGCAAGCGCTTTACATTTGAAAGGGGTTGTGATAGTTTTCAAAAGTAGATAATAGCAAAGGCCTTTTTGAAAGGAAGTGGTGGCGGCCGCGCCGATTAGCTGTTCGTTCGTGTTATAAGCGATTGGTATATGCACTAACTGCTTGCGCAAAATAAACCCCCCGATTTCACTCAATGGTCGTTTGTCATTCGACCTTTAAGGTTTGAGAGGTATATTTTCAAGAAATTGTTGTTTCCTGTTGTCTACTTAACAACAGTAAACTATATACTCGTAATTTCACATATTAATGCCTATCTTTATTAAGTTAACTCAAGTGTCTTATAAAATATGTTATATTTTCAACGAAAAATGACAGTTATAATATTATGTGTTAGCTGATGTAATAATTTTCAATATTAACGTACAACCAGCTCTACCTACAAAACGTAAATTTCTCCGCTTAATTTTAAACATTAAGACATTGGAGATAGAGTCCAAAATGACTTACGGGAATTCGACATATTGTGTAACATGAAATGCAACAGTGTACTTTTGGTCTACATGCTAATAAAGCATCCTGAATTTGGTCACTGCAATTCAAGCTTTACAATTAACGTTTCATTTCTTAAAAGGATCAGGTATCAATGAAATGATTTCAGTTTCGTATAATAATATCTTTTATCTACTAAATACATTTTTTTTTAAATATAATTATACAACATTTGAATACATTTAAATTGTAGCCCAAACAAAGCATCCTAATTTTCGCATACTTACGATATAAAATATTGTCTAAGTTTTATGTGAAAAGAGGCACCATCATAATAGTTTTCATTTATTATTATCACATAAATAATCCTTCATTTATCATACATAACAATCTTTGAGCTTTTTATGAGTTTAAAAGAATATGAACTTTGCTGGACTTTTATTTATTTGAGTAGTAGTTGACCGATGGAAATTATATATTGCTATTGTAAACGATGTTATCAGCAGTACAATTTGTACTAAGCCTGTAATAAAATAATCCTCACTCGACGTCGAATACAACGCTGCCACAGCATAAAGGTGAAATTATAGAAAACCTATTTCGGCTTATAGTTTGAAGTCGATTTTATTAGAAAGCTTCCCTTAAAAATTAGATATTAAAAACCGTTGTTTGTTTAATTATCAATTCACTTTTTTTTATTGTACAGTCAACAGCATGTCAAGTTATACAAATCTGTTCAATACCTTCTTTAAACCTTAACTGTGTTTTTGATAAATAAGGTTCAGCATTGTAGTAAATTTATAGTGAAACTGCACTAAGTATTAGTCAAAATTCATATTACTATTCATATACCTAGAAGAGAATTAGGTTTGCTTATTCTCTGTATAATATGAATTTGGATCAATATAAAAAATTGCAATTTCAGTTTATATTTACTTAGATGCTAAAACTTGTTTATTAATAATGTTGTATTAGACAAATTGTGGTCACCTGACGTGTAGCCGTATGTACATATTTAATGATATAATACTTTTCGAGGGTATCGATTATTAGTTATCAACTGTAGTTAATGACTAAGAAAATAAGGTTCATTTTCTTTGAACGGAACGCACTTAAGTTTCCTAGTTTTAATATTGTACAGACATCATCCTAGACGTTGGGAAATTGGATAATTTATCAGAACTAAACCCTAAATTTTTTGTAAATAATTTACACCTTCCCGTAGACTTCAATCGCACTCTTCACATTATTATGTCAACGTCACCAAATATATGTTACAAAATTATTTGATCTTTAAAACGGTTCTATAGTTGGTACAAACTGTATGCAACACGGTGACAGTAACATCAATGCTAAAATAATTACTCAGCATTTATGGTGATCGTTTTGCCTTTTGGATCATCAAATCGATCCATTGTTCTGATGTCCATCATCATCATGATACCGTAGAAGGTGATGGAGAGTAGTATGAATACAACGAACAAGCTCGACCAGATTGGGACGGAGAAGAAACCGACACAGTTGAAGGAATCACCGAACACCATTTCTGTCTCGTTTAAGGTCTCGAAGAAAGGTTGCACCTGTAAACGAAATAGATCAAATCAATAAACATAAATTAATTTTATGTTTACTATAAGAATTCAATTACCAGTCTAGTCATTGTAGAAAAATTATTTTTTCTTGTAAAAGAAGATATTCCATATGCTTCTTTAGTCTTAGATATTTATCTTGGAATCTAAGCAATGTACGTGATGTTATATAAGTTTACTTATACTTTAAGAGGGAAAGATTTGATTGTTTGTTTGTTAGTTTGCATTTAATAGGCTCTGAAACTAGTGGACCAATTTTAATAATCTTTTTAGGTTTCCATATCCCTTTTGGTAAAAACAGAAACCTTTATTACTAAAAACACACAACGCTGTCTGTCCAGTCCGTTTGTCACCAATATCTGTTGAACCGTAATATAAATAGATAGTTGAAATTTTCACTGATCATGTATTTCTGTTATAGCTATAACAAAAATAAAAAAAACCGAATAAAATAAATATTTAAGAGGGCTTGCTAAAGAGAAATATGTTTTTTTACGTTTTTCATAATGAACAAAAAATCATATGGAACCCTTAACATGTTTGTGAAAAACGTAAAAAACACATATATGCGCAAGTCCAACTCGCGTATTAATTACAAAGGTGTATATTATACACAAACCTTTAAATCGACGAAAGTAACGTTGTATGGAGTGGCAGTATCGTTTACACTGGTAAAGGAGACATTATCTCCACAACGATACGAGAAACCATCTAAGGCGTACACTTCCAAGGTGGATGGAAGGTTTACAGAGTAAGAGTCAGACATGACGGTGACACTGTCTGTAAACAAAACACATTTCATATTAAATTTATAACTTTTTAGATATAATTCTTTAGAATAACGATTCATCAAAACACTTAAGCTCATTAGACAATTGAAATTAATATTATTTTAAGTAACTTTAAGTATTGTTCCTTCCGAAAACGATTGCGACCTTAAACGTTACATGATTCCTAAACTTGCTATCACCATCTGTATACCTTTGAAATGGGGTTGAAGTTCAATAATTAGCCCACCGCTGTGCAAAGGTGCAAACCTAATGTTGACAATTAGTTATGTAACCTTTTATGATAAATAGAACAGCCATATTCTGAATATAAGTACAATTAATTCCAATTCACGGTTTCATGACAATTTTGACATAAAACATCACAGTTACATGACATAATTTTAAAATCAACTACATTTCTTAAGGGGTACTTATAGTGCAATCTTTTACAGTTGTATTTTAACCAACTATCTAAGAAACAAAGGTTGTTTAAACCTCAGAAATGGCAAAATGTTGTTTTATGATGCTGAATTAGTTGGAAATGATCAACCAATTCATCTATCAGTCTACCAATCACTTTTTAATCCAAACAGAACTGGCCTTAATACTTACAAGACTTTGGATCTCTACTAGTCATCTATATTCATCTCCTTTTTTGCCTCTAACACCTATTCTCTTTGAATTCTGACATCATCATCTTTTATTAATGATAAACTATGGATACAAATTCTTCTCTAAACACAAATAATGAAATCATTCACTCACCAAAGAACCAATAACCGGCCTGATTTTTGAAGTGCAAAGCGAGTCTGACGGGTGCATTGTTGAATGTCAAAGTCGTGTTCATGACAGTCACATTGAATTCAGAAGTGCTACCGGTTATCTCACCAAGATTAGTCACCGATACACCGTTCCCATACATAATTTTTTCAGCATACAAACGAAGACCATCAAGTATATAATCGCTGCTTGTAGACTCGTTCCTTAACGCTTCACGACGTACTCGGGAATGGCTCTCTGGAATGGTCCACGATGGATAATGGGCAGTGTATATGGCAACGACTGAATCGTAACGTTCTTGAAGTTTCGAAAACATATCTTCCATGAAGTCGTTATGGCGTCGAAGGAGGTCAGCTCGTGATTCACCTTCACGAGCGTCTTTTAGATTAATGAATAAAAAGTTACCACTTTCTGGCTCAATATCAGCAGACAGCCCATTTTCTGTAAGTTTCACATGATTTACCTTCTCTGGGTCAGCTAATTTGTTCAACACGCGCAACGGGTGTTCCACAGAAGGGAGATATTGGGCGTCACCAATGTTAGCGTGAAGGTATGGAAAAGATGTTTCAGAGTCATCATTTTTACGAGAAAAATCTTCGACGGACAGAGTTTCTTCTATGAAGATCACTGTGAACGGATCATTCTTTAACTCTTGCTTTAGAATTGAACTGAACTCGTCAGAAGATACTATGGACAAGGGATTCGACTTGATGGAAACTTTACTCAAATCACCCCAGGAAAAAACAGGCACTCGTACGGCGAAACTGTACACTACACTTAAAACTAAAGTAAGGAACACTATACGGCACAACGCCATTTCGAATAACTACACTATTGGATGCTTACGAACTAAAAATTACGATTTTAGTCCCAAATTATCATAAAAATGTGAAAAATGGACGAAGTCGAGAGAACATCGGTCATGTGAAAAGCGATCATATGACTAAAAATTGACAGTTGTCTATGGCATTGGGTGGCTATTACAAGATCGTTGAATAGCGTAATCGGTCGTAAAATAAGCATTTTGTAGTTGTTTTTTTCAAAAATAAATACGAAATTGGCCTGTTCTTTAGATTACTTTAGCAAATATTATAAACAAACGTTTATCTGGAATGAATTTATTAAGTGAGACTTTCTGAATATGCTATTCTACTCTGTTTAAGATTTAACGGGAACCTTTCTGTTAATATTTCGGAAAAGCAAACACGTTTTCTGGCCTTAAAAAAAAAACAAAATTTATACTTTTATACCCATTGCAGAGTACACCGCACCACGCTGCGACGACAGCGCCACCGACGGAAAAACGAAGCAACCTTCCCTCACTTTTTTGAAACCCCTCACTCTGACTCAACAGTTCCTGGTATTCTGCTTTAAACCAGCATCGTTCAACCACATCCCTATGGAAATACAGCCAGTGTGCTACACCCATGAAAATGTTGTTCACCATATTCATGACGTCCGACAATATATACACAAAACAGACCTACAGATACAAACTACTGCATATGCGCAGTAGAGAGTATATAATTTAAATAGATTAAAAAATGACAATCTTTTTATATTCCAGCCAAATTCAATGAAAAATAAACGTAAACAAAGCAAATTATGGTCATTACAACTTAGATAATGTACAGGACACTGTACATTACTTCGTAATTTTATGAGTAATATTTTTTACTGCCATAAATTACCAGAAACACTATATAAACCTATAACTTATAAAGTTTAGATATTAGAAACATGTTTGCAGTTTTAAATTATCTTTATAAATAAAGGTGTCGATTATTATAAACAGCATTACTTTAGATTGATTACATTTAAAATCAATCGCATAATGTAAGCCGACTCCATGAGATAGTACGGTATTTCTTTCTACTGTTTAAAACGACAAAAACTTTTTTTTTCATAAAATAATATCGCCACGCCCTATCATTAATGTGGGATCTGCATTTTAACGATTTTTGTTTTTTTGTATAAAACCTCATAAAAGGGTGTAAGGAATAATATCACAAAAAATAATTATTGATTTTATTATAATTACGAAGATAATTACGTTATTAATGTCGGTAGTGTCGATTGTGTACGTACAAAAATGAAGGTACTCACTTACAGTCAATTTTGATCGGACATAACCGACGAGTGGATGTGTCGATCTTGCGTCGATCTGCCAGTCACATAGTTAATGTCGGGAAAAATGCACGTAAGTTCTTTGGAACGCCAAATTGTTGTGAAACATTACATACACTCTGATTTAAAAAGATATAATGTCGATCGACCGCAAAGATCCTCAAGGATTTTAAGCCATATTTTACCAAAAAAAGGAAGTTGTTAAAAATGGTGCATGTAATGATATAGGTAATATTACAAAGTTATTAACTTTATATAAAGACTTGCCACTCATATTTTATTAATAAAATAGATTTCAAATTTATAATTTTGTATAGCAAATTATTTCCATTTTCCATAAGAAGCAACGTATCTAGGAAAATTAACAAAATATACTTAGTTTTCCGATCAAAAACTTCATACCTACCATATCCGACTTATTGTACAGAATTTAATCTTGTCAAAAATGTTAAATATGCCACATCCGACACGTAGGATAGAATTTTAAACAACAAATAAAGTTGGATCTACCACATCCTGCGTAAGATAGTAAAATATGTCCGTGTAAAATAGCTTCACGTGACATTGTAACGTATATAAAGTCAAATAAATTAATCTATTATATTTGTTTAATGTATCGTAGAATAAAAAACAACCATGCCTAATTTCGTAATCCTAACCCTTAAAATATCATTTTTATTCAACTTTTCATCTTTAAACTGCTCTCCTGTAAAGTTGCATATTTGTAGATACTACATTAATGATAGGGCGTGGCGATATGTCTATAGCATTTATATGTTTATGAAGTATTAATACATCTATAAATAAAATTATTAGTTTTTCACTGGTTTTTGTTTACGCATGACATGTTCCTTGTAATTATAAGACATTGCACATTAAATTACAAAGATTAAGTAATATTCAAAACACTATATATTACATAATTCTATCTAAATTGCTTTGAATATTTGATAAAGCAGTATCTCGAAATCGAAAAAAAAAGATGTTGTGTAGTTTAAAAAGGTTATTAATATCTGCTGTCACTGGTTATTAAGCCATGCTTTGTTATTCTTCATCGAAACATGGGTGTAGCATAGTATAGTCACACACATCTCGCGTTCAATATACAAAATAAAATGATATAAATAAGGTAAGAACAGCTTCATCTTATTAACAAATGCTACCGCAACGTAGCGACGTCACACCATGATGAGCAGTGTTTAAAACACTGCTCATCGTGGTGTTTAAAACACTGCTCATCATGGTGTGACGTGATCACGTGTTATACAAAGAAAAAAATCCCGACTTTTAATTTTAAGCATGCGATATTATTATGGTTTAATGGTTTAATTATAATTTGTAGTGTTTGCAATTTTATGAAAACTAAAAATCAGATTTCAAGAAAAGAAAATCTGTTCCAAAGAACTGATATAACTAGTACACACGGCTGCACGTTAGGCTATCACAATATGTCAAATTTCTGCAATAGATTTTGACATCTACCCTTATATTATGATTTAAAATAAAGTGGGGAAATTGCAGGTTTTGTATATTGTGAAGTGCAATTGACTGTACAAGTGTTCATACCATGCGAGTAGATAAGCGATAGTTTAATTAAATTGAAAACCCTGTTAATTTAAAAGATAATATAACAAATTGCTGTGTGACTTTGCAATTGAATTGAAAGTGGCAACATTGCTTTTGCATGATAGTAGAATTGTCTATGGTTGGTAGTTCTTGGTTAAATTCAATATTTTTTTGTTTCGATATATTGGTATTTTAATTTTGATATCGATATAGATTTTCGGGCATCGATATAGATATTGATTTGTATCAGTTTCGACAATTTCCTAATATTCCGATTGACTGACATTGACGTTTGTTTACTTCGCTAAAGTGTCGAAACCTTTGAAATAATATGAGAATCATCGTTAATATCTTTCCGTCTTAACTAGTGTTTCTTTTTTATCATAGAACTGTGTTAGAATAAAAATGGATCACAATAAGGCACTCAATGACAAAAAGACTACTGTGGAAGTTGATATTTTAAATTCATGCAGAGTTTGTATGAAGACTGATGGCAATAAAAAATCAAACATGCATATTTTTGATAACGACTGTGATATTCCCAATAAAATTCTTTACTGCACTGGGATAGAGGTAAAACTTTAGCACTATCAACTCGTTTAAGAAATATATCATTAGATAATTATGTTATTATATAAATATGTTCAAGAGCAAGCATTATTTTAAACCTTAGTGCTTAGATCTTTACCAATAATTTGCTCTAGCTAATACTAATTATAATTCATCTATTTGTGATTGTGTAACTGAGATAACTGTCTGTTAAGTAGATTATTAATAAACACACATAGTTTGTAATTTTTTGCTTTATCGATCAATTCGTGATTTCTACACAACTTTCTACATTTTCTACATAGTTGTGACGAAGAGAGCTCCCACTCCTCAACTATAATGCCTATTATTTAAGTAATTCCTTGTTAAATTGAAGCAAATACAAAATATGTGTTTAATATTTTTGCCCGATGGACTGAATAGTTTTTTTTTTTACCAAAACATCCCTATTAGAATATATTTGGATTTCTCATATGCAATGGTTGCTACCTTGTAGTTTTTTCAAATGTCTAAATTTTTCTTTAAACCTTTGGATTGTTCAAAATAGTAATAGTTAATAAAAGTTATAGTAACAGCTTGGAATAGTATCCTTGTTATTATAACAATTATTTTCATTGTGATATTTTATTCGGAAATTTAGTTTAATATTAAATTACTAAATTAGTTATTGAAACAAACTGTATATGATATAGCAGTATGTAGCACACTCAGAATGTTGACTTAGGTCTTAAAAGAATTCTCTTCAAAATGCCCTTGTAAAAAAATTCTGTAAATTTAATTATTAATTAAGTAACTGAAAACTAAATGGAATTGAAATTAATGAGTAATGGAGTATTCTAAAATATGATTACTCAGTTAAATAACTGATTAAATGCAGAGTGTTCAGTTGAAAACTGATTTGGATGTCTAAAATTAACAAGTAAGGTATTTTTTCTAATTGGATATTAACTAGTTTGTAACCCAGAGATATCTTTATAATACATATAGCTTTTATGGTACTGCTGTGGAAAAAATGAACTAAAACATTATATTTGGAAATTATTAATGAAAGCTGCTTAAATAATCCACCAGCCTTATCTCCCATTAAAAATATGTTCTAAAACAATTCAAACACCTATTTCCAGTTCACCAAAGAAGAAGGCCTACCATTTCTCATATGCAATGGTTGCTACCAAGATTTATCAGTAGCGCATAAATTTAAAATGTTATGTATACTCTCACACAACACATTCCAAAACATGTTGAAGAATAAAGTGAAAACTGAGATAGAAGTGGATGCTATGGATGATGATTTAGGCATGTATGATGCCAGTATCAAAGATGAATATTACACTAATGATGATATGCTGAAGAATAGGTAAAGTTGTCTTTGTTAGCTATGGACGTTATGGACGTTAAGTGATTTCCCTGAACTGCGGTCACTAGTGATTCAGTGATACAATAACTATCTATTTTCCACAAAGCTTTAAAGTAAAGCTGAATTCACTCTTAACCCTCTATTGCATACAGAGCCATTTTTGGCTGCTAAACTTTAGTAATTTTTTTCTACCCTAATTATAAACAAAAATTTTAAAATTTATCACAGTAATATTAGGGAGTTCAAACTGAAATGGCTTCGCATGCATTCAGAGTTCTTTTTTTTTCTATTTTTCTAGAATGCTTCCTTCACGCTTTTATGGCACTGCTAACTGCATTAAACCTATTCCTGGTGATGGCTCTCTTAGTAACGATGATTCACTATCTGATTCCGATGACGATGTACCGCTTTCACGCTTGCACAACCAAATACGTAAAAAAACAATAATTATTCCACCGTCTGATACCGATACTTCCGACGACGAAATACCTGATCCTAGACCTAAATCTTTCAAACAGAAGCGAGCAGTAAAGGAAAAAGTTATCTGGACAGAAGGAAAAATGCCTGCGTATAATGAAAACAATTTCAAGTTTACTGGTAGCCTGGAATTGCCAGAGTTTACTCAAAAATTAGAATCACCAGCCGAATTTTTCAATTTTTTTTCACAGACGATTTAATAACATTTATTACAGAACAGTCGAATCTGAAATCTACTCAGGTCAATGTTAACAAGCCAGTAAAGGTCACAAACGCTGAGATTGAGGAATTCATAGGTATTGTCATCTTCACCTCATTAGTCCACCTACCATCTACACGAATGTATTGGTCCAACTACATTGGTCAGCATCAAGTCAATTCAATAATGACATGTAATAGGTTTGAAATGATAAAACGTCATCTTCATTTCAATAATAATGATGATTTCAAACCAGCCGGTACACCAGGTCATGACAAACTGTTTAAAATTCGGCCTATTATAGATAAAGTAAGAGAGCGATTACTTTTGATACCCAAAGAAGAATATTTGGCCGTAGGTGAACAAATTATATCTACGAAAGCTCGGCATCAACTCAAACAGTATAATCCAGCCAAACCTCATAAGTGGGGGTACAAAAATCAAGTGTTGAGTGGCGTATCCGGATTCAGTTATGATTTCGATATTTTTGCTGGCGATCAAAGCAACGTTTTTCCAAGTGATGCACCAGATCTTGGAGTTTGCTCAAACGTTGTTACACGACTCACATCTACTGTGCCTCGAAATGTAAACCACAAAATATTTTTCGATAACTGGTTCAATAGCATGAAATTGCAAGTTTACTTGTATAAGAATGGATTGCTGCCATTGGGAACCGTAAGGATGAACAGAGTACCTAACGCTGATATGCCTACAGAAAAAGACCTGAAGAAAATAGGTCGTGGTGCTATGGTTGAGAAAATCGCCGACGTGGATGACGTAAAACTATGCCTGGTATCATGGTAGCGAACCAATTTCTACTAAAACTAGATATTTCAAAAAAGATAAACACTACAAGGACAATCCGTTGTTGTGTATAACCGACACATGGGAGGAGTTGATTTGCTCGATTCTTTGTTAGGTCTGTATAGGATCAAAATAAGGTCTCGTCAGTGGTATAAAAAAATATTTTTCCACTTGATTGATATGTGCGCAGTTAATGCTTGGTTATTGTGGCGACGTAAGACTGACATGTCACTATTTGATTTCAAGCTCGCCATTTCTGAACATTATTGCAAGGCTGGTAAGAGCATCTCAAGAAAAAGAGGCCGTCCTAGTATTAGTAATCCCGGTACACCTACCTCGTCAAGAGTAAATACTCCTACGTCAACCTGGTACTCCTATCAGTAGAAATGAATCTCCTGCTCCTCGGAAAAAACAACGAAAAATCTCTGCAAAAGTGCAAGAGCTACCTCTAAATTCAGTACGTTCAGACAAAATTGACCATTTTCCGATTCATCAAAGGACTCGTCGATGATGTCAGAATGATTGTTCTTTGCGTTCCCATATAAAATGTGAGAAATGTAATGTTTTTCTATGCTTAAATGAGAAAAGAAACTGTTTTAGAGAATTTCACCTTGTATGCCCAACTAGCAAAAATATGTCGTATAGTAGTCGCGGCAACGAAAATTATTCAGCATTTTGGCTCCTAATAGAAGTTGTATAAACGTAATGAAAACGTTTATACAATGCGATTTGGGCCCATTTTATTCAGCAATTCAGTCACATAGACATCATATAAAGGTAACTTATTCAGGTAAATCGTCACGTAATTATCGCCGGAGTGACTGTTACAAGCTTATGTTGCGCTATAACTGTAACTTATATGACTTTTATATGACATGTTTGTCTTATTGAAGCGACCTGGGATACAAAACAGCTGAAAACATTTATAGTAAATAAAATAAGCAAGTGCTTCGACGTGTTGTGTTTTAAAAATTATAATTCATCGGTAAGTACAATTTATTTAGCAGACATGTTAATTTGTAGGTTGCAACAAATGTAGGTTCGTAAACTCACGCATAGGGTTGTAGAGTATTGCGAAGGTAAGTTTTCTGAGGAAATATACTAGGTTATATCATAAATATTTAACGCCCCCCTTTGATTCTTAGTAATATGAATATAATAACAAATATTTTTATATCAATATTATTATTGTACACCATTTTTACTGCTGACAGGCGGTATAATAGCTTCTTATTCAGCAAATTAGCAGTATGAGCGCCATGATACCACTCTGATTATAGTTTAGGGTTCCTTCGAACTTCCTAAAAAGTTTTCTAAAAAAGACTTTTTGTTTGTTTATTTATTTAATTAACTATTTATTGTACACAACAAAACTAGAACAAGTTACACAACAACTACTCACAGCATTTTACACAAAACAATGTGATCGGTGTAATGGATACAATTATACGACATTTTAGGCTTGTAATAGTCGTATAAATGCGACGTATACTGCATAATAGTAGTATAAAAGCAACAATGTTGCTTTTACTCGACTGAGTCAACTTTGCCATAAGAAAGCTATATAATATGCTTTTACTCGACGAAATAGTAACATAAGCGTCCTATACTAGCGACTTCTTCAGCAAAACATTATATGACACTTAAGTCATATAAGGATGCTGACTAAACGTTTACTCAGCATCATTATGTGACCGAAATGCTGAATAACTCAAAAGCTATATAAGATGCTTTTATACGATACGTGCTGAATAATTCACACTTACTCGACTTTTATAACACCGAAAAGCTGAATAAACTTTACCTTATATGACTAATTTGCTAGTTGGGTGATGTTTATTTGTCGTGCATCGGAAGCCAAAAATGGCTTCTGTTTTTTTTTTCCAAACTAATAAACTTATTTTTCTTTTCACTTTATATTTTGTCTTATAAGCCATAATAAAGCACATTAAAACATAAAAATATATTTTTTCTATTAAATTTAATAATTCATGCAATAGAGGGTTAAGTAAATCATTTAAGGTTGAAGTTTGTGCGACTCTCTTTACAATAACCGCAACCACCAAGAAGCGGCGATCACAATTTGTAACGATATTTAGTCATTCGGTCAGTTGCACAAACGTTCATTAAGGTTTAACGACGACTTTAAGCTCTAATGAATGTCAAATTTGTATGGGTAATATTGCTTTAAACTAATGAAAAATTTAATGGATGTTTGTGCAACCGGCTGTTTATGAGATTAACACTACATTGATGGTCATGTAATGCAATATTAATAACCTTATAGAATGTAACGCGTAATGTAAATAGTTTAAATAATATAGATTGCAAACAATGCAACCTGTTATGTGGGAATGAAACAACATAATGTTGTCGGAATGAAATAGGTATATGATTGTACGTACCGCGTTGCTCCGCTTTCGGAGTGATCAAGTAACCAACCAAAAATTGAGCTTTATCGCATTTGTATAAGAGTAAAATTCGCTTTGACTTTGTAGTGTTGTAGAAATAACTAGTTATCAAAAATAGTCAGATTTGGTATTGGTGATTGACGATCTGATAACAGTTATGTTAAAAAAAATTTAAGTGATTTAAAAAATTGATATTAATTATAATAATAATATAATCTTTATTGCACACATACAGACAGGAAAACAAAACAAAATTACACGGTAAACAATACAGAGTACACAAAAGGCGGCCTTATCGCTAAACAGCGATCTCTTCCAGGCTTCGCTACGAGTCATCGCTAGTCTTTGTTGCTTTTTTTTAATTTGTAGGATTCATATACTTCCTTTTACCTTAAGAAAATAAAGCCATATATAATAAAGTGGTCAAATGCAATTGTCCCCCTCCCGAGTTGGGTCCTATTTGATTAAGCTATTTATTTTTATATAGCTTTTACCTAAATATTGCAACATAAATTTCAAATCAAGTTAAAGTAATAAAATCAATGGGTTAGTCAGAATTTTGTAATTTCACAATATCAAGCCTTTTTCATAAAGATTTTTTCATAATAATAGGTCATATTCCAAAGTCTCCTTTCCTGTTTAGACTCTACCTTTTTGGCGTAAGACCTAGCATTATAAACGCATTACAGTGTTACAGTAGAAAATAAACCGCGAAAGAAACGTGGACCATACAAGAAGGCCGGCAAACCACGGCTAAAGAAAATGAAATTTCGACGCCTATGGTGTGAGCCTTGCGGTCTCAAATTCACCACAAAACAGCTGTTAGAGGAACATAGAAAAAAGTCACACAGTCAAGACATTGAGAGCTGGATATGTGAAGTGAGTTATGTATTCTAAATTGATGGACGTTCATATTGTAAATGTTACAGCAATGACGTATGTACAACATATTTTACAGATGACACCCTGTCTACATTGGCCATAGAGTAAAAGGTCAATTTTGCAAAAAAAAATACACAAAATAATCCTGTTAAATTGTTCTTAAGCATTTTTTTATTGTATTATAAAAATCTCTAATATAATTATAGGTAATTTCATTTTGTGTTAATATTATAAAAACTAGCTATTTAACCCTAATAAGTGTTGAATTTTCTTACCAAACTTTAACATCATTATAATTATTAGTCATAATTTTAATATGTATTTCTAACTTCAAAAATGATAAACTTCTGTAGAATTAACATTCATCCTCTGTTTCATCCCCTTAGGAGTTGAATCGCTGAAAATGCGTCCTTAGTAGATGCTCACTAAGAACTCCGCAAAATAATTATTAAAACCGTGGGTCCAACTAATAGTTCACACTCAGCTATGATGGATCAGTCAGACAGGACATTTTTATAAGTAATCTATACTTATCCCTCCAATCCGCATTGGGCCAGCGTGGAGGGTCATGGCCCATCCTCCTTAACCATCCATAAGGAAGGCCTGAGCCCCTGCAGTGGGGACGTAAAAAGGGCTGGTGGTGAATACTTATTAAACTTATGAGTCACACATCATGGTTACTATAAATAACTTATGTCATCTTTCAGATTTGCGGTAAGGTATTTGTGCACAGAGGTTCCTTGTCGTCTCACATACGTTCGCATATGCCCCCCGAGTTCGCATGTGACCAGTGCGATTATAAAACATCAAACAAATACGACTTGATAAAACACGTCAGGATACACACAGGTATTCAAAGGATTATTTTATTATTAGTTTTAGAAAAATGTTATGGCCCTTGTTGAGTTTCTTGCCGGTTCTTCTCGGTACAATCTCCTGTCGTAGATTAACGAACTGTTGGCATAGAGGTTCACAAGTGTTTGTAACAGCATATACTGAATAAATTTTGATTTGATTTATGATATTTTGTCAGAGAAATTGTACGTAATGTTATAGGACATGCTGTTGACTCTACAAGTGGAACTTTTTGTTTCTTTTAACCGGTTCGAAATGGATACTTAAAAACACTTCTTATTATTCATTGGCTCATTTTATTCGGCTTAATATTTCTCCGGGTAATGATTTCACTTTAACTTTTTGTGAGGACGCGGGCGCTATTCATATCAATGTATTGCGATCGGACGATGCACATTAAATGGAAAATTTACCGGTAGATATTTAAATCCTGAATACGGTTAGGATTCGGTTCCTCTGAGGTACATTACTTAACCGGTTGTAAGACCTACGTATACCTAATGTCACTTATGGTTTAAAACTTCTATTGTTCCTACTGTGTTATCTATTAGTACTTCCCTTTCGTCTTTACCCTTATAAGTAAGTTTTCTTTCCAGAAAAGTGTAGTCTCTAATTCATTATCGTCTGTTGTGTTCTAGGTGAAAAACGATATCAGTGTCAACATTGTACGTCAGCGTATTACACAAGCTCAAATCTAACCAGTCACATACGTTACGTTCACGAGGGACTAAAGAAATACGCCTGCGAATTGTGCGAAAGGAGGTTTTTTGATAAAACCAAGTACATGAGACATATTGACTCGCATAATAACGTCAAAAGGTGAGTACACGAAGATCTAGAATGACTTTTTAGTTTTAAAACATTATAGTTTTTATAAGATGTGTGGGTAAATAGGATAACCAATGATATTACAGTAAAAAAGAGTATGCTAATTAGCATACCTGAGCGCAGTCTGGCGAAAGAGTTGATTGTGTGTGTTTATGTACCATAATCATTTTAAATATGTGTTATGCCTGTAGAAACAATATAAGTAAGTCATCAAAAAGACCAAGGGGTCACATTTCATTCGCAAGTATACATTTTTTATTGATTTGCGTTTTAATTCATAAAAATCAATAATGAGCTATAAAAAGAGATTAAATACTCCAGTTACAAATTGTGAAAAAGATCTGTCAAAGACTATGTAACAGAACCGTCAATTCGACTTTAGTGCTGCGCTCTACTTTACATTTATTTGTAAATCTATATGAGACTGAAACTCCGGGGTTTGAATTCGGAGCATCGAAACATAACTCCGGAGTTTAAAAAATATTCCGATTTCAATCAAAGCGCTCGTGAACATATAAATAAATAAATTCATTTATTTAGCAGCTAAGGCTCATTTGTTAGTAGATTACATATTAACTTAAAAACCTATGTTAGTAATTACAAATTTAATTTTAAAATATTAAGATGTTATTTCTTTAGCCATTCCTCATTTGGTCTCATAGTCACAAGTGTCAGGTTTATTTTATCGCTTGAAAAGCTTCATTATTTATACAACGGTAAATAATAATATAAATATATATATTTATAACGAGAAGGATAAAAAATAATGTCAGACATCAATATTTTTAAGTTGAGCTGTTTATATAGCTGTGTATATAGGGATTAATTTAAGACTATATAACAGGTGTTCCAAAATAAAACCGTGAAAAATCCCATTAAAACACTACTTATCTCAGTTTTTCAAGTTGGATGTTTTCTCAGCCAAGAAATTGTCTACCAGTTTCGATAAAGCTTTCTGTGACACGCATTTTATTATCGAATATAAAAAGGGAGTTTATATGTTCAATTATGATGTCTGTTCTTGTAGATATCAGACGTTTGAAGTATTTATCACTAATAATATTATTGCTAGAGGAAGCCAACATTATAGTTTCATGACATTCAAATCAACCTCATCTGTAGGGTGGTACAATATTTTTAGACCTGCATATGAATAGAAAATAATTAAAATAGAAAAGTAAGTTTAAATATAATTTACCATGATCACGATGATTTCGAAACAAGACATTAAATTTGACTTGTGTAAAATAATATTTTTGTTTTCGCTGTTTTAATTTGGAACAGCAGATTTCTAGTTGTAATACAATATACCAAATAAGCTTATCTCTATATTTAATGATTATAATATGTCTATTAATCAGAATTGTTCAAATTGATTGATCTGTTGTTCACAAAGGTTTCACGACGCGCCATATAATACTGTAGAAAGTTTTACCCATACCGTGTTAAATCCTATCAGATAAAGAAATACGTGTTATTGATTGTCCTAGGTTCGAATGCGAGGTTTGTCATTCCTGTTATACCCGACGCTGTTACTGGAAAAAACATTTGCAGCGCCAACACAACATAGTGATACCCGCTCAACGGCCGGGCAAGCAAAAATGTAACTTACTAATTGGACAAATTGTCGGAACCAATGTAGTAGGGACCAAATTTAATAAAATATCTTAGTATATTAGTAGTGATTGGAGTAGGTAGACTTTATTTAATTAAATTTTTGATGGAATCGTACTCGAATGCCAGTTAAATTTTAAATCTGGCCAATTTACAATGTATATTTAACCGTTATTAAGAACCGGTTTTGAGCTGTTATTGATTTCCCCGCTATTTATCAAAATTATATTTATAATTTTCATATAGTTTTATTTATATTAAACAAAAAATACAGAGAATTTAATCTATATTGTAATAACCGGTATTATATTCTTATAATAGTTTCAATTGATATATTGTTTTAAGCTTTCATGGTCGATTACATTAGTATGTTAGTTTTTCGTGGAATTGCTACCATGTACCATGATCGTGGCGCTTGCAACAGCACCGAAATATTGGGAACTAAAAAAACAAGGTACATGGTAGCAATCCGCGAAAAACTATCATTCTAATGTTTCAATTGATGTTCAGTCAAAAAAGGTTGTCGCAGTTTGCTACTCCAAAATAAAGTCACAAATGCAATGAACAGAAAATTCAACAAAACTATTAAGTTATAAATTCTCATATTTTATGTGTAGTTGTTGATTATTTATGAAATACAGTATTATGAATAAAGTGAAAGGCGAAGGCAGAAAAAAAAATATACTTCATGGCTGGTGATGATTTAGTTAGGATTTATAAGACAGCAATATTTAAAAAAAAACACGTTTTAAAAACCACATCATGTTTATTTATTTGTATATAACAAATATGTCATTAAATTGTAAGCTTATTATTGTTGAAATAAACACATATATTAATATTTATTTCATGTTTAAACATAACCTACTTATTATTTGCTAAAGAGAAGGATTATCACAATCCTTATTTATTGATAAGTTAGATATTAATATGTTGAGGGAATGAATCCTGTTCCGTCCACAATAAGCTAGAAGGTTTCTTGCTATTTTGTATTTTTTTAATATAACAATATTATCATTTAAAATATATTAACCGGTAATTAAATTAATTAACCGGTTCACTGAGTATGCTGTTTCAACAAAACCATAAGAACATTACCGTTCGAGGCCGAGCGGTAGTGGTTTATCGTGCGGATCGTCATACATATCATTCGCCTTGCAATTCATTAATGCGACCAGTCCAACGCCTAGGATTATTAACGATATCCATGTCACAAAGAGACACGCCAATATTCCTACACTGAAATAAGGGCCGCAATTCACTGTCTGCCCGAATTCCCCCGAATCGCCCTCGGAATCTTCTGGTGACGCTGCCTCTCCGCCTTCTCCGCCTTCTCCGCCTTCCCCGCCTTCTCCGCCTTCTCCGCCGTCACCGCCTCCTTCGCCATCGTCGCCTTCGCGTCCTATTTGACGTCTCTCATTGTTCGTGGATTGCGTATCTATTGATAAACCATCAATCATGTCCATAACCTCATAGTCGATGACGGGGTTCTGTAAAAAAAAATCATTATCATCTCTCTATCAGTCTATCAGCCCTTTTACGGACCCATTTCAGAAAGGCGCGCTGGCCCAATTCAGATTGCGGGGTATTCAAATGCAGCCGAGACTTACGGCGTAATGTGCCTTCCGAAGACACGGACTAGCTAGAGATAAAAATTTTTTGGCCACCCGTCCCGTGCCCGAACCCTGCGAAAGTTGCTTAATATATAAAATGGTAATTTAGGTATATATGAACGATTACAATGTCGGTTTCTTTTAAATATATTGTAGGACTTTTTTGCAAAATTATCTCGCGATTTATAATCTATGGGTTACAAGAACAAGAAAAGCGGGCGGCCATGATGTAGCATCGTGTGTCGTCACATTTCAATAAAGTAAAGGTCAGCGTCTTTGTTGTTGCGAGTGCAACCTTCTGCTAATGTTTATGTAGATAAGTATAATCTCAACAACTTGAATTTTACCATTATACCATCTACCTAAAGTCTAATATTATTAGACTTATGTCTTGCTCACATATAAATGGTGCCTATATAGGTATATGTATAATAACAAGGCCCGTATTAAGCACGCGCGCCCGGGTGGGTGTAAGCAGTGCTCTGGCGCTGTCATCCCCCCCTCCCCCTATTACAGAAAATTTGTCGAAGATCATCGGTGCGGCGCCCGGGTACGTTGCATCCTCTGCACCATGGGTAAAGACGGGCCTGATAATAATATTGGACTTCAGATGTATAGTTTAGTTGCGAGTATTACGTACACACTAGTTAAATTGACTATCAGTATTTTTTTAAATATAACTTACTCCATCGAAAACAATCGGTCACGCACGTGTCACTATGAGCTGTGACGTCACATTTCACTAACCTTAGGCATCGAGTTGGCAACATTGTAATCAAGTGTTTCAGTAACGCGGTTAATAGCTGATGCTCTGTTACGTCGACGTCGTAGTGGTTGTATCTGTGGACAAAATAAAAAAACTTAGCTTAGTGCTATTAATAAACAAGGTTTAGCGTCAGAGTAAATTTGCGCTAAAATAGAAATTTTAGTATAAGTCCAAATTCATATCATACAGAGACTAACCAAACCTAGTACCTTCTAGGAGTTTTGTTAAGTCTCTGTTTAATAGTTAATAGTGCTGTCTAAACGTAAATTTTATAAATAACACTGTAAAAGTTCACGTTCACTAGGCGCGCACAGTAAAGGGAAGTCTAGACGTGCCACGTCCGCACTCTTGCTTACTTAACGCAAACAGCTCTAACTATTCGAACATTAGAAATCTCTAAAAAATCGTCTTTTCTTCTTTGAACACGAGTCTATATTTTGAACAGTACAAGATTATCATACCAACAGTACCTAAGGACTTGCTTTTGACATTGGCAAAATTACACTCTTTTATCGGTCGATACGATGTGCAAATATTAAAGTCAAAATACAATAAATTGTCTGATTTTATATGAAAAATAATAATGTCAAAAAATCAAGTTTCATAAAAATTGCGAATGTAAATGTACATATTTATGTTATGTGCGTCGATCCACGTTTTTATTAGACTAGGATGTCTAGTGTTATGAGTACAATAACTATAAAAAAATCAGTTGTTGAGTGTACGCCGCACCTTATACTCAGATATGGTAACGGAGCTACCGTCCCTGTTGTTGATAATGACTAGCGGCTCGCCGCAGTAGTAGGCGTTGTTCCAGGGCGCGCCCACCATCATGCTGGTGCGGCCCACCTCTTCACCCCCCTCCAGCAACGTCACCGCATCTAATACGTATACCAAATTTAACCAGTGCGTCGTCACCAGCCTCTTACTGTCCCCACTGCTGTGGCGTCGGGGGGGCTGGACTCGGTGGCTCCTTTCCGGATCCCGGGTGCTCTTTCCTCTACCCCACCTTGCTGGATCCCGGGTCCTCCTCCCCCTCACCCACCTTGACGGATCCCGAGTCCTCCCCCTTACCCCACCTTGCTGGATCCCAGGTCCTCCCCTCCTCACCCTGGAGAGTACTCCCAGCCGGTTTTACCAGGTAGGCCGGCCTCGCTTAAGCCTGTCCTTTTCAGGGCGGGTGCGGGGTCGGAGATACCTGATTTAAGGCTTAAGATTGCATTTCCCATGCATTAAATAAAAGGCCTTCCCTATGGATGAAATCGAATAGGGAAAAGGACACGCGAGCCAAATGCGGATTGGTGAGTATTAACGACCGCAGATGCAGGGACCAACGGCTTAATGTGCTCTCCGAAGCACGGAGGAGCTCGTGATAAGAAATTTTTTATCACCCGTCCTATGGCCGGCCTTTGCGAAAGTTAATTAACAACCGTATCGTAGACCGAGCGCGCTAATCACTGCGCCATCGAAATTCTAAGCTCCTCTTAAAATATACCAGTGCAATACAGGATTATTTATTAAAACGCCTTTGTCGTTGAACTACACTAAGAAGAAATCGTTTTAGGTGATAAGGCCGCCATATTACATTTGGTAAGTTTATTTTTCAATTCGTGTATGTTACCGGTAATCTGCATAATCCGGTTTTATATTTAACACCGGAACCGTACCGAAGTTTAAAACCCTGTGATACCGCTAACGTAACATGGTATCGGACAAAATGTATAAAAAAAACTGAAAGGCTACTTCTTTCTCCGATAACGAGATATTTTATGTAATTCTTAAAAGCTGCTGCTTCTTTTATATGTTTTTTAATAAGAATTGCTCTAAATAGAATCCCGTGGGACCTCTTAAGTAAGGGAATCGGAGAAAATATAAAAAATACTGAAGAACTACTCCTTTTTCTGATAACTATAAAGAATATTCCGTATTATTTCTAAAAGCTAATCCATTTTTTTTTTATTGAAGTCCTTGATTCGCAAATCTCGTTCGAAACTATTTTAGTACTTAAACGAACTTACTTTTGCTATTGTAGGGAACAAAAAAATATGACACCTTGCGACCATTTAGAAATATATGACGCTAAGAGATAGGTAAACATTGAAATTAGGAAGTACGTATCTGTAGATACTTCCTGTCTAATTTTAAAAAGTAATAAATACATAGCAGTGACAATATATTCCAAGAACAAATACCGAGCAACCAATCCTTGTCTCTGAATAAGAATTTGAACTCCAGATCGAAGTCGGAGTAAGCAATCTTCGTGGATAACGAATCAGAAGTCCAGCTCTCCTCTGCCACTATAGGTACCTGGTTGAAGAGCGCGCGTCTAGACACTGTTGCCGCGAATACATCTGTAAAAAAGTGTTATGGTTTAAGGTTAAGGTTGCATTTTTAAACCTAGAGGACCATAATAGAAAGATCTATCTTCTGTCTCAGAGTAAAATCAATTAAATAATTGACGATTAATAAATCTATTTTCGAACGAGAGTTAAAACTAGTGTTGGGCAATGGAGATAGGTACGATAAACACGCCAAGTTATATCCTATGCGTACCGTGTCGCCATCTCTGAGGCCCCGGGTTCGATTCCCGGTCGGGTCAATGTAGAAAATGAACTTTTCTATATTGACTCGGGTCTGGGTGTTGTGGTACCTTCGTTGTCTCAGATACTCCATAATACGGGGGCTTTAGCTACTCATCTTGGAATCTGAGCAATGTATGTGATGTTGTTAAATATTTATTTATAAGTTTATTGATGGACTTTTATTCAAAATGACCCAAAGTTTATTGATTGAACATACACTGTATACCTATAACATCTCACGAATCCAATGCCAACCAAACCGAGGCATAGTACCGAACTGATGCACGGTAAGCCTGTTGTGCTGAGGATATCTACGATCGGCACTCCATAGCCTAAGAGCTTGTAACAAAAATGTGCAAGAGCTTTTGAAAGTTTATATTTCAGTAATCAGTATGTTAAAGTACTAAGGGTAGTGCGAAGGTCAGGGGTGAAGCACCTGGATAGCTGGATGTGTTTTTCGATTAAATGAAAGTCTGCGTTTATTACTTATAATTTAGTGATAAATTAACTTTTAACCATTACGAAAGTGCTTTGGTATGTGTTACAAATTTTCATACTTTACATTGCCCCACCCTTACCAGGGGTGCGACCGCTAACTCTCTAGCCATAGGATACGACTTCTTATCGGTGTCTTGGCGATATTTCGTTTGGTTTTACTACTTTGACATTTACTTAGTGACGACGAACGCACGATAAAGAATATGACTATGGATTTAATAGCAATGTTATTAACTTGGTCATTTATCCCAGTTTATCAACCAAAAGACATGTCAAAGTAGTGCCATAGAAAGAAATATCGTAATAACATCGCTAAGATGTCGTATCCTTTGGCTAGAATCATGGCTAAAGAGCTAGTCGGTTGCACCACATGTGTTCTAGCGGATGACCTCTGCATTGGGTACCTACTGACTGGTATATCCTTATTTCTTAAACATACAAAAAATCTAACTTTCGGAATCTCTAGCAAATTTTTGTCACAAGCTCTCGGTCTATTAACTAACCAACAAATCGGAACAGAGCTCCATCAGTAACCACCGTAACGCCGGGGAATTTGCTGTCTGGTATCGGTGCGATGGGGACGAAGTCCAACTTATCAATGAGCACTGGATTCATCTTCCCCGTGTAGAAAGCCACTACTGGTCCATCCACCGTATCCCTCATAACCATGTAAACCTCTCTCATGATCAGATCGTGCCTTCTCAAAACTTCAGCTCTAGTTTCGTTTTTGCCATCTCGGAAAAAAATATAAAGATGTCTTAACCTTTTCTCCAACATTATCAAATCCATTCCCGAACTCACATAAAAGACATTAGATTGGTGAGGTTGGAACATTTGATTCAGCAATTTGTATGGCTCTATAACTTTAGGAAAGTATTTAACCTTTTTCTCTATTAGACCTTCTTGCATATTACGATATGGTGTCCCCAAAGAATCCTTAGTGCTTATGTCTTCGGTGGAAAACTGATCTTCAACGAATATTATTACTACTTCAGCCTTCTTGATTACGTCATGAATCACATCCGCAAAGAAAGCTGTGCTTATTTTGAAGAATGGATTCGGTTCTATATAGAGGTCGTCCATTACCCCACTTTCGTCTATCAGGAATACAGGTATGATGTCTTTATCACTGACCACAGTTTGAAATGACAAGGAACTCAATAGGATAACAAAAATCAGCATTTTGTATGTCACAGTCGAATTCTTGGTTACTTATTCCCTATTTTTAGCCTAAAAATTAATACTATATTCTAAACAATATAAAAGGAATAATCCGCAAACATTGATCTTGCTTAGCAGCAGTGGGCAATAGACAGGCACAGAATTTGATCATATTTTTCTTTTTTTAACGTCATTCCAAGTTTTGCTTCTTTCGTTGACAGAGAAGTTTGAGGTTTGATTGTGAAGCATGATTTTAAAAAGCTTTTAATTTCAGTGTAGTACTTAAAATAGTGAATAGATAAGTCTATAGTATGCATGCTACTATTATTTGAATTCTATATAATTTAATTTTTTTGCATTCACAATGCTACACTGAAAAATATTCTTAATGAAGATTGCTTAAAAAATCCACCTTTCGCGATCAGTGCGACTGCTCTAACCACTGAGCTACATTATTAAAATTATTATTTCATCCATGAGAAACTTCATCATTCGCGGTAAAATTCGCTCGCATTGAATAAACTCAAAATTACAGGACTCATTTTATAAATTCTTTTATGGAAAGTTATCTCTTACGAGATTCCTTTATCGGGAATGACATGAACTATAACATATTCTAGATAGTTACATCACGGGATAACAGCTAGTAAGTAATAAATTCGATTTCAATTTGGAAAACGTTGAAATTTGTACCTAAGTACTTATAAGTATAATAGGTATAATTGCATAAGAGACTTAACGTACGGGCATTGGAAATGAAACCCGATAAAGTATAATGCAGTAGGTACGGGGAAGTTATTAAAGTCCGATGAAATCTAATAAAGTCCAAAGAAGTCGATTATAGGGTATGAAGTCACTGAAGTCGAATTTCGATCAATCCGATCGGATTCACCTAACCAGTAATAACTCTTATCTTTTCGTCTTTCTGTTTCGAAAAACATTTTCTTAAATAAGAAAGGTGGAGGCACCAATTATCGACCATGGCTTTTTTTGATCTTTGACTGCTTGTAATTTTTATATTAATAGCTTTCGCTTTCTTGTAATGTCTTTTTTGAGTATCCATTATTACATTCGACAAATTAGAATCCTTCGTTGTTTTTCATAACTTCGATGTTATTTTTTCTGAATAAACCGATTTTCTCTAATATCGACCTTTAACACCCTAGCAACCGCCGCATGTGACCTGATATCACTGATATCCCTGTGTGTTATTCCAGAATGTAATCTATTCCGCTGCCAAATTTCATCCAGATTCGATCTGCCGTTTTGGCATCATTGAGTAACAAATATCCATATATCATCATCCATTATCATACATCTATCTATTCATCCATCCATCCAACTTTCCCATTTATAGTACTACTAGCGTCTGCCACCGGCTTCCCTAAACTGAGTATGTGCCCACTGTCATCCAAATCCCTAATAAACATCCGTCTATCCTCATACACTTTCACATTTATAATATTAATTAGATTTGGTAAAGTAATATTAGTAATTAGTATTAGAAAGAATAAGACAACAATAAGGTTTTAAATGCGTATGATCTCATTATAGGGTGTATCGCGACATATCTACTGTAAACGTCTGTATACCCCTATAGAGGGTACAGGCGTGATGTTATATAATGTGCTTCTGTTAACAAAAGATAACTATACCAGCGGTTGCAGGAACCACAGCAGATTTGCTCTCATTTGTTGAAGAGTTCCTTTGTATGTCTCTGAAAATCTTCATATTCTTCTTCGTCATCTTCTTCTTCATCGCGAGACTAGAAAGGGACGTCCTCAAAATACTACGATGCTCTTCCAAACCATTATATACAGCTTTTTTGTTACTTTTTGTTTCATTTTACATCGATAAATAATAAAAAAATAATTTCATCAATATAGCGTAATACGTATTATTAGAGATAACACAAAAAGTTCTTATTAGATCTCGCTCAAATTTAAATGGGACCACATGGCAAGTACCAGCTTTCGAATAAAAAAAACAATCATCAAAATCGGTACACCCAGTAAAAAGTTATGACTTATGAGCAGTGGTCGGAATTAGGTAGAGTTATTCATGTACTTACACTGATTTCATACAGCGAAAAAATAAAGTGGATATGCCTCAAATCACGAGATTAATTTTAAAGAGCAGAAAAAATCCCGTGATTTTTTAAATAAAAAGTTATTTACTTTTACACAATTTAAACTACTGCACGCACGACGTTGCCAAACTTACATCAACGAAAGAAAAAAATAAAGAAATCCCGGGAAGGTCCACATTAATATCAACATTTCGATGCAAGTACATAAATAACTCTACCTAATTCCGACCTCTGCTTATGAGGTAACAAACACAAAAAAAATAAAAAATAAAATACAGTCGAATTGAGAACCTCCTCCTTTGTTGAAGTCGGTTAAAAATAGTTTTTAGGCGGTCGACATTAGAATTTAACGATTTAACGCATTTCCCTAATATCAACCACATAATGAGATTTATCTTTAATATGAAACCTGAATCTCGATTATTCAAATTTTACCAATCAAAACTTCCCCATGGGACCCCGATTAGAAATTATGATTTGTTTTATGTGTGTATTGATTATAAAACTATTTCAATTGTGTAATTATTTAGTATTACTTAACAGAATTCTAAACTACTGGGCTTGTTTCTTTCTTTTTTGTTTCTATTTTTAAGTTAATTTTTCATGTAGGGAATTTTTTAAATACGTTTAAACGCAGTCGGTTTTTTGTTTTTCTTTAAATTATTTATTTATACTTACACTAGTTAGGGGTCCCTGTAGCCCGGAGGCCCCGAAAAATTGATATGGCCGATGCGGCGGTAGCTTCGCCATGGCTACGCCCCTGGGTATAAATAAATAATAGGTATATTACCGTTCGAAAATTCAATAAATATCTATAACTTGACTATTAAGTGCCCTGTAAACGATCAAACTGCTTGTCAAACTTTACGTGCTTGACAAACTTTTTGATAGTGTGCAGCTACGCTTGATGCGCTTGTCAAACAATCTACGTGTTTGACGTGTTTGAAGAAAATCTAGATTGAAGTCGTGCTTGACAAACAAGTTTGTACGTGAACGGTGGTGTTTGTCAAGCAGGATGTCAGTCGTTGTGTTACATCTTGGAAGACGGTAGGTACGCTTAATAAAAAAAAAATACAATGGAAAGTGATGAGATGATATTATAACGAATAAAGAATTTACCTTGCATTTCATATCTATTTATCGTGATATGCTGAATCTATGGAAAGTAAAATCTAAAGATTATATGGACAAGAACATGAGAAGCATAGCATTAAAAAAAATTACTAATTTGCTGAAAATGTATCGCCGGAACATTACGGATGAAAAGTAAACCGAAACTAAACAAATTTGTTTGATCATTGGCTTGATCGTATGCGCTGTTAATTGATGAAAACGTAAAGTTTCGTTAAAATAAGGTTCGTTTCATAAAAAAGTTAAGTCTATGGTTTTGACGTTTTTGTTAGTTATATTCTGGTCTTGTGTCGGTTGAGATAAAACGAATTAAAATATTGTTTTTATTCTCTCGAAATGTGTTTTTCTTAACATGGTAGCAGAGCGGAAAATAATTACATAAATATGCGTTGAAGATTTATGGCAAAGCGGTAAGATATATAGTTACTAAAAATCCGGGAAGATGAAAATATAGTTTTTCGCCGTGTCGAGAGGAAAAACAAAAGCGGTTGAAAGTCAAAGTGCTGTAAGGAAATTGAAAAAGACATGGAAGGAAAAGATGAATTTCGTCTGCAAATATTTGATGGAACAAATTACGATAAGTGGAAATTTAGATTAAAATTATTTTTGGAAATGAAAAACTGCTTATTAGCCATAACAGAAGAAACAAAAAGAGAAGGTATGTCAGAAGCAGATTGGCGAAAAATGGATCTAAAGGCGAAAAATTATATTGTGAATAGCGTGAACAACACCCAATTAGATATTATAATAACAGAGGATACAGCATTTGGGATGATAAAAAAATTGGACGAGATATATGTTATGAAAGGGAGTGCAAATAAATTACTGATTAAAAGAAAAATTCTCGAAACAAAATTAAAAGACGGTGACAACCCGATTGACTTTTTGCAAATTTTCGAAAAACAAATTAACGAACTGAAGGCAGCTGGAGAAAAATTATCAGAAGAAGATAGACTAAATTATTTATTATTGGCATTGCCAGAAAGCTGCTCTCATATAGTTAATATTATTGATGCCATGCCGATCCAAGAGAAGACAGTTGAATATGTGAAATCAAAAATAATGCTTGATTGGAAAAAGAAAGGAAATATTGAGGCACCACTTTCGTTTGCGAGTACTTCTACACAAAATAGCGAACAAACAAGAAATTCAAATAATTGTTTTGAGTGTCATCAACCAGGACATTTCAAAAGAGACTGCCCAAAGTTACGTAATCGTGGTAATTACAGAGGAAGATTTTACCGAGGCAGACGCAGAGGGTATAGAGGTAGAGGTAACATCAATTATTCTTCCAACGCCAATTCATCGGATGCTGTTGGATTTAATGTTGAAGTAGAGGCTTTAACATCGTCTGTTGGAGATGCTAACGTGACATGGCTTATTGACAGCGGATGCAGCGACCATGTTGCCAACGATGACAAGCTATTTAGTGAATTGAGAAAATTAAATAGTCCCGTTAATATTAAGGTAGGTGACGGTTTTTGCCTCAAAGCCGAAAATATTGGTAAAATTGTAATGTTTTGTAAGGCGGCAGGAAATTTAAACAAAATTGAGATTGATAATGTTTATCATGTTCCAAATATGAAACGTAATTTGTTAAGCGTTTCAAGTATTGTAAATAAACACAATATGATTAAGTTTCACAATAACACTGCAGAAATTTATACAGCTCAGAATAGGCTAGTTGCTATTGGTAAGAAAATAGGTAAACTATATGAATTATACGGTAATATTAGTTGTGATAACATAGCATATTACACAAGTGATAGACTCATGTCAGAAAAAGAGAAATGGCATCGTA